GCCCCGTGTGGGGGGTGGGGGGGGGGGGGGGGGGGCCGGGGTCCAAATTTCTGCCCCTACACACTTCAACACTCTCTTTCAGATTGTGTTTCACAAAAATGTTGAAAAGATTTTGTTTTCAATGATTGTAAATTAAACTTGATTGATATTAATACAAGATCTATTAATTCAAAAAGTAAAAACCAAATGAATAAAATTCTCATACCTAGATTGAAGATTAGCATGATACTTTTTCACAAAACATATAAGTTGAATTCTCACAGCCATACCCTCAAGATTCTTCGATAATCAATTTTTTTATACAAGAATGAAACGAAAAAAAACCTGTTTCTATTTTTGTTGATGAAACCAATTTGGTATTTGAATAATTCAAAATGCAAAATATGTAGTTCGCTTCTTTACAATGTACATTCGATTGTTCACGAGAATTGAAATACAAGTGCGCATTCGATTCTAGTCTACAGTCTTTTAATAAAAGAAAGACGCCTGTAACGATAATGATATCGTTCATCTCTTTCTGTTCTTTATTCTCTCACCTCTATATCATACTATCTCCGGGTCATATATCTCTTTCCTCTTCTTTATATAAGCGCGTGTCTTATTGTGAAAGAGATACATTCTGGTCATGCAGAGTAGTCAATAAACATCTATACCGTGAGAAGCGGTCAGCTACTCAACCAGTTTGTCGTTACAACGCCATTTGAATATATAATAATCACATCAAGTGCTTTATTGTTGACAACATATTTTTTGAGAATATTCATCTTAAAAACAAATAATTCAATTTTGACGAATGTTTTCTTTATTACTTGGAGGTATGAATATGATTCTTTTCATACCTTACAAATTATATTCATTTTTAGAGAAAAACTCATTGATATGGCTTTCACTCTGATTAAAAGAAGGTACACGAATATAAAATAATGAACGATGAGAACGCTTCAAGTAAACCTTAGAAGTAATATATTCAATTAGATAGCAAAGAAATGAAGTGATTTTGCTTTTCTCATTTCATACAAATACAGATGAATTACAATGAATATTCAACATACTTTCTTTCAGTTCTATGCGTTGTTTTTGCTAATTATCAGACGACAGTCTATTTCCGATGAAAAGATTTTTCTTCCTTAATATTTATTTTGGGATACTTTCTTTCGTCTATAGTGAACATTTTCTTGGTGGAACAATAACATATCGTCCAGTTAATCAATCAGCAACAGGTGATCCTGTTGCTATTGTTATTACTCAAACTTATTCATGGACTCATAGTAAAATGAATTGTACAGACAGTTTAATTTCAACAAATGGATTTATACCGGATTTTTTTGGACAAATTGGTCCGAAAACATTGAGTTGTGTTAGTAATTGTGGTTCTACATCAGCTGGATACTCAAGTGTTGGTGTTCTTCCTCGTTGTACAGATTTTTCGGTAGTTGGAGATATTTCTGTTGGACAACGTATAGATATTGTTTATCTCAATCAAAGTGATGATTTTTCAGTTGCTTTTCAAAGCAATGCATGGCGTTCTTTACAAACACAGAGTGCTGCTGCTTGGTCTATTTCAACACGTATTAGTACAAAGAAACGACCAGATAATGGCCTTTATAACAATGCACCTGTTGCAACGATGATGTCACCAATCAATATTCCTACAAATGTTTCAACAGTTATTCAAGTTCCTGTTGGTGATGCTGATAGTGATGATTTGAGATGTCGATGGTCAACAAATAGTAGTGGAGTTGACGAATGTGGACAAGTCTGTCCTCCAGATTCACTTCCACCAGGTACGCAGATCTTTCCAAACTGTACAATTATCATCACTGGTACAATCACTGATGCATGGTATGCTGTGACATTAATGGTAAGTTCAATTGAATCTGTTTTTTTTTTTCATGCAATAGTTTTTATTATCGATCTAGGTTGAAGATTTCACCAGTTCATCAAGTTCTACACCATTAAGTTCAGTACCTGTTCAGTTTCTTGTTCATGTCGTTGCTCCACCAACATGTCCAACACCACCTGAAATCATTGGTACTCCTCAAGAACAAGAATGTATTGCTGTTGGTCTTGGTCAAACATATCAATCACAGATTTATGCAGTGAATAATTGTCCTCAACCAAGTAATATTTCAGATATTTCAACACTTTCATTTGCTGGAATGGTCAAAGGAAAGCTTGTTCAACAAAGTTCAACACTTTACTATCGAAATCTTACATGGTCACCAACGAGTGCACAACTTGGTTATCAAGTAATGTGTGCAATGGCTATTGACAAGTTGAGAATTCTAATACCATCTTGAACAAAAGAAAAAAAATTGTTGTTTGTTTTTTTGTTGTTGTAGTAAACAATCTCAATCAGCCCAATATTGTTTCAAATTCTTTGTATCAGAGCAACCTACTTGTTCATGTCCAAATGAACCTTGCCTTTCGACAACAACATCGTCAGTATTTTCTTTTCTAATTCATATCTTTATATATAATTTTATTTTAATTAGAACAACATCGACAAGTAGCACTAGGTTAGAATTCATATGAAAACAATATTCTTTGATAAAGATTGAAAATAATTTTACTCTAGTACCACAACAACATCAACTACCACGTCAACAACGACGTAATTTCTCACGAAAATCTTTTATTTTTAATAAATTTCTTCTTTACTTATAGTTCAACATCATCAACAACCTCAACTACATCAACAACAAGCACAACATCAACTACCACGTCAACAACGACGTAATTTCTCACGAAAGTCTTTAATTTTTAGTAAATTTCTTCTTTACTTATAGTTCAACATCATCAACGACATCAACAACCTCAACTACATCAACAACAAGCACAACATCAACTACCACGTCAACAACGACGTAATTTCTCACGAAAGTCTTTAATTTTTAATAAATTTCTTCTTTACTTGTAGTTTAACTACATCAACATCTTCAACAAGCAGTACAACGTAAAAAGAAACTTTCTATATTTATAAAAATACCGAATTAGAATATTTTAGATCAGCAACATCAACAACATCAACATCATCAACGACATCAACAACCTCAACTACATCAACAACAGCGACAACATCAACGACCTCAACAACAGCGACAACATCCACATCATCAACGACCTCAACAACATCAACTTCCACAACATCGACAACGGCAACAACTACGACAAAAAAACGTTTGTTTTATTATTTCTGTTTCTTTTCTTTTTTCATTTCAATATAAAATATAATTTTAGCTGATCCAGTCAATTGGCCATTAATTGGAACTATCATTGGTGTTTTATCTCTTCTTGCTTTAAGTTTAGTTTATTTTCTTTGTTATCGCTATTGTCGGTATGTATATTTTCAACTGAAAATAAGAAAAAAATACCCACTATCGACGATATGTTCTATAATATTTTCTAGTTTACTCGGTAATCGTTCATATGGATTTGAAAAAGAAGGAAATAATGAAATGTATTATATTGATCTTTGTATTGATCCTAATTGTATTTACTTAAATGAATCAAATTCATCTGATATATTTACAATTTCTCGAAAGAAATATTTTCGTTCTCAAAAATTAGATAAAATTCCAAATACATTAAATGATCCAAAAGATTGTTTTGTTGAAAATACTGAAGATACGGAATTAAATCTTTCAAGTAATGATAATCATGATCAAACAACATCAACATCTTTATCTCATGTTTCTATTCGAAAAGTTAAACTTAATGAAAGAAGACGTGAATCAACAAATAATAAATTACGAATTGAAAATAATAGAAATAGAAAAGTATCTCGATTAAACCCAAGAATATCAAATACAAGTTCAAATGAAAACAAGAAGAATATTACAGAAGAAGAACAATCAAAATCTGAAAATCAAGATAAGATTCAAATTACCCATATAAATAATTTGTTATTAAATGATGGAAAATCACATAGTTTATTATCAACTCCATCTTTAAAAGAATCAGTTAATTCTTCATTATCATCTGTATCTCCAAGAAATATTTCGATATTCTCCACATCAAATTCAGTTTGTATTATTCGTGATCCAACCGAAAATGATTCCAGTCATTGGATACCCAAGATTTCACTTTCTCCTCTTTCGGATAAACCAAAAAGTGAATCAAGAAATACAGTTCGTGTCGAACATATTTCAATTAAAAAAACAAATATAGAAAATCAGAAGAACATAGAAACAGCAATTATTTCAACAAAGAAAAAACATCGAAATCAACGTAAAAATCGTTTAAATTCGTCTGTTGTAGTTAAACGAATTGGACATATTGATACAACAAATACAAAACAAAGATTCTTAAAATAACTTATTCTTTTCTTTCTTATTAATATTGTATTTATAAAAAAATCCTATTTTTAGTTAGAAAATCTCATTTCTGAAATAAAATTTAAAATGCTTTTTTTTCTATATATTCCGATAGACCAAGTTGAACACTATAATTCTATGATATTTCATAAATAATATCCCAATAAAGATGCGTTTTCTCAACGAAATCGAATGACTAAAAGAGCAATATTTCTTTCTGAACAGAAATATGAGAAAATTATTCCAATAAGTAAAGAAAATTCTTTGATTGAAAATTCACTTGAGGATGATGTAGAAAATAAACCTTGCCAAATTTTATTGAATCTAAATTTGAAAACAAATTGCATTTGTTCATTAGAATTCTCTTATTATTTACGTATCAGCTATTTCAAACGTAAATTTCCATGGCCAAACAAGATAATTCATGTTTAAATAAGCAATAATACTATGTATAAGTCATTTGGATGGATTGCAATCCGCTGTGCAATCGACTGTACAGTGCGTTCGGAATCGTAGGATCGGAGTGTAGTTCGATATCCAGGAGCGTTTGTTTTTCTGCTATTTGGGCGGGGATTGTTTGAAATGCAGTGAAGGCTGTTTGGAGTTCGTCTGTTTCCTCTTAGCAGAATGGATATGGACAGCATTGTGTTGTGGGTTTTCGGTAGTACGCGAAGATGCGTTTTACTGGAATTCGATAGATGTGTGGTATGATTTTGTCGCATTTGGTAGGTTCCGAGAGGTCATGGTTCGTTGGAGTTTTCCGGAAGTTGTTGTTGGGATTCCTTACTTTTCCGTTTGGGTAGTGCTGGAACCGGGCGGATTTCAACCGGTTGAATCCGATCTGGAATCTTGCTTCCATGAAATGTTCGGAAAAAACCGGCACCGGTCGGTTCCGGACCGGATTTTTCGACATGGGTACTATCTGTATTTTTCGTGAAAAGTTCATACCTTATTGTTGTCGCTGTCATTCGTCAGTAGTTCACCTGAAAACGACTGGGAATATTCCTACGTCTATTGACCAGAACTTCTTATTTCTATAAAATTGCTTACTATGATATTTTGTTGATAAAATTGTCTTTTTGTCAAATATTGAAATATCGCCTTACATGATTGTGCCAAATGATGACCTTTTCTCAATACTTATGGTAAGTCTAACTTACAACTATTCAACATGTTCTTGGTAGAATCCGTCCAAATGAGAATATCCCATGAAAGAGTACAAACACACTGTAATGTTTCAAATTTTAATATCAATCCACTGGTGATGACGCCCGAGTCCATAGGGATAGAAAAAAAAGGTGGTATCATATTGAACTGAGAAAATTCGAACTCTCATTGTCGCACAGAATGCCATTGGAAATTAAGTAGTCCGAAGAACTTTCCATTACACTGATCAAAAAGTCCGTCGTGGCATTATCAAAAAGCTGGATTTCTTTGGTTACGTATCATTCCATTGATTCCATCACCTCTACTCACTCTCTTTATTCTCTATCATCTTCTCAAAAGTCGACCACTTCGTTCAGCATTGAATAATCATGTCATTGTTCTCATGCTTTCTATTTGGTCTTGTTGTCGAACTCACAGACGTCGTCTGGTTTATTATGTTTATCTCAGAATTGATTGAAGAAACTATCGCAAAATGGCAGTGCTGTACTATAGTGACACACTATTGCACCTGCCACCGTGACGAACACTCATCGAGCTGCGAATCAAACAAGAACATTAACAAGAGGTGTTCATTGATTATTGTGTATAAGATGAAGTGATTTCTCTTCTTTTTTTTCCTGTGATATGTTTTCATGCATACAAGAAACTATGCTAATCCTCACATCATTTCTCTTTCGCCTAGTGGCCAACTAATCGAAGTTTTCTGTTGTTGTCAATCATAGATGCTTTTTCGAACAACCTGGGATATGGAAATAAAGAAGATTGAAGGGAAGTTATTCTCGAAAAGTGCTTCGATTTTCACGGACTCGCCGGAATGCATTCTCTTGATTTTAGCAATATTTCATGAAAAAGGTAACCTCTGACAGGTTATTCTCTATGTCTTCTGTTTATATTAGTTACATTCATTCTGGTATGTAGAATCTAATCCAGAATAAATCTAGTTACGAAATTATTTTCTTTCACCGTTTTTCTATCAAACAAACTCATAAGTTACAATTCTCATGATTTTGTCCAAAATATTCCGAATTCGATAGTGAGTCATGAGAGCAAATAACAGAATATTTGTGATCGATTTTAATACAAGGAAAGTAGGAATTATGCACTTCGAAAAGTGCTTGTATTTTTCTCTCGCACGACGAAGAAAGCATCGAAAGAACAACAATTCTGTGTCGTTCACATCTATGCAAATGAGTTACAGATTTTTTTGTCGTTCGTCATCATTGCATCAAAATCTATGGCATCGATTGTATTTCTGTTTCTGATTGTCTCTCTTCTCTCTCTCAAAGGTATGACAATCGGTATCTCATTTTATCCGCCATCGGAACCTTTCTTATGTAGATCAAACTGCTGCATCACTCAGTTATTCATGTGCGTATCGCAACACGAGTGTTCAGTTCACATTATTGACATCTGCTCATTCTGCATCCAATTCAGCTTCGAGTTGTTCTCTACAACAGTGTAATGGCACATCAGCAGATAATCAAACTTGTTCCCTATCGCCTACACCTTGTTTCGACTATCGGACAATGAACAACATCAGTTATTGTGCACCTGGTGTTGACTGTTCAGTATTACAGCCATGTGACAATGTGACACACAGTTGTGCCTCGAATGATTCGGTGTGCATTGTTAACTCATGTTGCTCACCATCAGCTGTATGTTTACCTGTGTTGACAACGGAGTTCTGTTCAAGAGGTAAAGCAACAACTTTTAGAATTGAATCGATTGATGACCGAATAATTGGATACACTATTGCAGCATTACTCTGCATGTTAGACACTGCTCTCATATTGTCACAGAATGATTTAGGTCATAATGAAGAAAGAATTTGACCGCGCAGCATCTAACTGGGTAAATGGTAGTTTCTCTATAGCACATGGGTTCATGTTCTGTCATTCAAGTCAGAAGACTTTCGTTTTTCCAAAATAACTTCGTACAATATTGATCGTATAACTGAATTACTTTCTAGTTTCGCGAGAGAGGTTTGAGAATTTTACAAGAAATTTGAAACGTCATAGCAAACATGAAGATCTTGAGGGTGAGACTGTGAGAACGGAATAGAACGGGTTTAGACGGTTGGAAATGGCTCCACACAGACCAAAAATAGTTAATAAAACTATTCATTAAAAAATTCTGATATGTGTGTACGGTACATTCAAACTGAGAAGAAAATGCAGAAATATTTTCTCTCAAAAGGACAAAACCTCAGTTTTTCACATATGCCTTTTTACTTGGTAGGAGAATCAGTTGATCGAGTGAATTTCTATCCACATTTTATCGGAAGTTTTCCGATTTCTATTTTACGTTTGAAAATTATAGAAAAAAACCCAAATAAATAAGATTTTGTTCCCCCGGAATGACTGTATAAGACAGCCGCTTGTTCTATTTTACATTTTTTAGAAGCTCTATAACACATCAAGCTACGTAAAACTGGAAAACTACATAGATTTATTTCATCAAATAACCAATAAAAGATTGAAATGAATTTGTATTAAACTACTTAATAAACAAGTCTTCGTCACTATGCTCATTTGTTTCCTTTTTTAGGGTGGAGAATGACTGGATCTATGAATTCGAGACGATATTTTCAGGCAGGATCCATTTTAGTCATTGGAAAAGTATTGGTCACTGGCGGACATAATGGTAGTTTCGCTCTAGATAATGCTGAACAGTATGATCCATCCACAGGCAGTTGGACAACAACAGGAAGCATGAGTTTTGCACGAACTTCGCATATAACATCTATACTACCTAACGGAAAAGTGTTGGTCACTGCTGGACATGCCAGTAGTGGTCTTAGTCTTGATAGTGCTGAACTGTTTGATCCATCACTCGGTAGTTGGACGACAACAGGAAATTTGAATGGTGCACGATTCGGACACACAGCATCTATTTTATCGAATGGAAAAGTATTAGCTACTGGTGGACGTAATGGTGGTGCTCTGAATACTGCTGAACTTTATGATCTGTCGACTGGTAATTGGACAACAACCGGAAATATGAATAACGCACGGTATGACCATACAGCATCTATTTTACCTGATGGAAAAGTACTAGTTACTGGTGGATATGGTAGTGGTTATCTGAATAGCTCCGAAGTATATGATTCGTCGACAGGTCTTTGGACCACTACAGGAAATATGCATGCTGTACGATATCAGCATACAGCATCGACTTTATTCAATGGAAATGTATTAGTAGCTGGTGGAAAGGATAGCAGTGGTACTGTTCTAAGTAGTGTTGAACTGTATGATCCGTCAACTGGTGTTTGGACAACAACCGGAAATATGAATAACCCACGACTGTGGCATACAGCATCCGTTTTATCAAATGGAAAGGTGTTGATTACAGGTGGATATAATGGTTTTAATTATCTCAACACCACTGAATTGTATGATTCACTTACAGGCAGTTGGACAACAGCAGGCAGTATGAATGTTGTACGATCGTTGCATACAGCATTCGTATTATCGAATGGAAAAGTGTTAATTGCTGGTGGATATGATGGTACTAATTATCTAAACACCGCTGAATTGTATTGATTAAGTTTCAGTCGATTGCTTTTATTGTTTTGACCATATATGACTTGTAATTCCACAACTAAATCCTTTTTATATTGTATATTTCACTGATGAAAACATGAATCTTAACCCGTTATTATATAAATAAATTACGTCAAATTTTTTCAAGACCAAAGCCAGTCGATAACATCCGCATTTGTATAGTTATTTAGTTTAAAGCTACATAAGATTCATCTTTGTAGGTTTTTTTCTAAAATTAGACGACACACTATTGCAATGCTCTATTTACGCCGCTTTAATTTTCTCTTTCGGGTCACACTTTCTGTTTATTACGGATTTTATAAATATTAAAACAATGAACATCTACACGAAGCTTGCATGCAGTAGTAGAAACAAAGCTGGTTTTCTTACAATCTGTCAAAAGACTAAGAGTTTATTTTTCAATATTGTACGGCCACTGGTGCTCTCCAATTTGGTATACCAGCTCCTGCTTGTTGCACTAGGGCAAATCTATGATATGGATGTATTGTGGACGCACGCAGTATACATTGATCACATAAATCGTATGTATTGAATCCTCGGCAATGTTGACATTGGTATCTGGTAATACCATTTGCCCGACCACAACCGTCACAGAACCATGGAGAAATTAACATGATTGATGCAATAAGTCGTATAAAGTATCTGGGTAAGAAGTGAAAACAAACACGTGCTTATAGAGAACGAATAGATCAAGCGTGACCTGTTTCATGTATGACGACGAAATAACGAAATACGTTCGAATGAATAGAAGGTATGTTAATTAGATGGACAATACCAAGAGGATCAATTAATGAAAAAACAGGAATGTCATAGTCATCGTTATGTACAAACAGTAATCATGTTCTCCCATTCAGATATCAATTGAATTCTTTTTTTTCTTCTGTGTGATTTACATTGAATAACTGATTATGTTATATCCAATCAATTTTAAAGCATTTCATTATATGTCGAGTGAAAAAGAAGCAAGAAGGCTTTCGACGGTTGTGCCATTCTATGAAGCTATGAAATGATATATTCTTATCTGAGAAAAATCAAAATTGTTCAACTTAGAAAATTTTCACGTCCCTCCTACTTTCCTTGGGACATTTGTCAAAATCGCTACTGCGGGTAATCAAATTAGAGATTTAGTTCCTTTTATGGGAACGAAAGCAGAATATGCTTTAATAAAATTTCTTCATTTTTTCAACAATTTATGCATTTACTTTCGTATACATGAAGATTGACATGTTTACATTGCGATTATATTATGGAACTATGAACCATATAATGAAACTTCTTCGTTTCAATCAATGTAATTCAATTACATGTGCCGCGTTCGGTGAATCCTATGAAGAGATTTATTGAAATTATTAGAAATTAGCTTGTCGATGTTTGAAGAAGACTGAGACTACGAATATGAAAATAAGAAATAGTAGTTAAGTTGATTTTATCATTGATCGCTTTCCCCGGATGGAATCATTCGCAATCAAATCGTTTTCGAACCTTAAATTTGTCTTATTTTCTCGCTCGATAGCACAAAGAATTAAATGCTCCATCCAGTGATAGTTTATATTATGGTTAACAGAAAGGACGAATGAGTGAATAGAGTATTCGTACGAAATGATTCATTCTAAAAACTTTTCAAATGATTATTTGATCTATTGACGAAAAGGTGAATTTTATCTGAAATGGAGTTAAAGAAACGTTTGAAATACAGGTCTTTGTATGTTTTCGTAGATGATGAAAATTTTGATAAACTTTCATTAAAAAAATAGTCAATAGTCAATAGGACAAGAGCATTAGTACCGGGATATTCCAGTTCAATGAGTTAGTATGATGATTAAGCATGAAAATTCAGAAAATGAATGGTGTTGTGTTAATGAAATCAAGTTGAAGCATTTGAATTTCTTCAACTATAGGTGTGTAATATTATCTTTTGAACTCTCTAAAAGATCTTTGCACAGTTTATAGAATCACGAGATGTTTGTCACATTTTCTTGCCACAAAGTGCCGAAAAAAGTTTTAAAATAAAAATTTATTATTTTTCAAATATGCATTTGCTGGGGAGGGGATATACATAAGCTTATATTTTATTCTCTCATTACATGATGGGTTGACGTAAATAAGGGGATTAAAAATGTAAGCAAAATTTGTGGATGTGTCTTATTGACACAATTTCATGGTGACAAGTTCTTTTCAATCCACGTTCTGGATTGTGTTAATTCCGTTCACGCGTATTAAAACTTTCATTAAAATTATCATTCTGTAGTCAGCGAAAAGCCAACGCCAAGCTGTATATCTCGCTTACGTAGACCCAAATTCTGTTCACTGGGAACCGTAAAATCTTCCACATCCCGTTTGTGTGGCCCTAAGTTCCGTTCACCGGGAGCCGTAAAATCTTCCACATCCCGTTTGCGTAAACCTAAGTTCTGTTCACCGAGGTCCGTAACAGCTTGGTCAATGTTGTCTACATTATGTAAATCACGTTTGAATAAATTCAATTCATTGTTCCGAATGGGACCACCATTTGAAAGGGACACCATTATGGTTGCAACTACAACGAGAGCAAGTAAACGACGATCCATGGTGTCTTGTTTAAAGTGATTGTATCTAGTACAGAACTTTTTCTTCATGTATATATAGTAGTATTGCGATCGTTGTTATCTAATTGCGTTGACAAGCAATATTATTTTTATATTTCTTCAAAAAATTGACGTAGATAAGGATAAGATTTTTGATTAGGATAAATTATGTTTTCGTACAGGCCTGGAATGGTATCATTGAATACAACGCATCACATATCGATGGTAGTAGTATTTAGAACTGTGATTAGAGAATATCTTTGTAACACAGATCAGCCACAAGTGCAAAAATAACGATTCTAAAGTGAACTGTCTAAAATTTCGTACTATAACTGAATGATCAGAATTTATATAGTATTGAAGAAAAGCTTTAAGAATTTTTCTATAAATTTATAACTCGAGATGATTCCGGTTACACTGAGAAATACGTCGAAAACAAAGATCAACTTTTGATCCTGATGTGCGAGAAAGTCCATCAAGGGGCAAAATAGAAAGAGATTATAATTATCCGGTACGAAGTGTTGACAGGCCTGATGCTTCCATTATGTTATATCGATATATCATCTTGTGTCAACGGAAACCTACCATATGATCTGTATAATTAAACACGATAAAATATGGTTATTTTTGTATCTTTTTTCTATTGACTGAATCTATTGAAGATGTAACATTTGGTGCACACTACAGTCAGCCAATAAAATCACATACGAAGATAGAAACGAGCTTATGTTTCATAATATCACGATATGTTTAAATGATCAACATTGTTCAACATTCATGTGCTCACAAGTAGTTCTCACGGATGTTTTTGTCATGCAAAACTTGACTATTCCGTTCAAAACGTGAACGCATGTGCGTGTGTGTGAGAGAGTATGAGGAAAAGAAAAACGTCGTTGTTCTCGAGGTGCTATTGATTCAATGGAACAGAAGAACGTGTGATGATTGTGTTTCAGGGTCGTTGAGTAGAAAGTCCATGTTTTTTTTAACCTAATCATTCTTATTGCACTTCTCGACACGTAATAGTTTTTATCAAAGAACACAAAATTTTCTCTTTTTTTTTCTTCTTTTCTGTTCTTTTATGTGTCCTTATGTAATAGCTCCATTCTCTCACTCTTAACAGCTTTCTTGCGGATTTACAAAAATTACTTCGTTAGTTTTAATAACTATGCAATGGAAAACACAGTCGGAAGAAGACCAAAAGGTGCAGCTATGCAACATACATGCAAGATTTGCGGGGCACCAGCTCAATATTCGTACTTTGGTACAATTTCATGTCGCGCTTGTAAGATTTTCTTCAAAAGAAATGCTGAGCATGGACAGGTTAATCGATTTCTCTTTGTCGACTCCAGCAATGCATGTTTGTCTTTTAGGAAACGCTGCAATGTTTATTCGACGGACATTGTGAAATTGATCAGAATAATCGACATGTCTGTTCATTTTGTCGGCTGAGGAAATGCTTTCTCAGTGGAATGCAAATCGAGAAGATTCGTTGTGCGTTATCAAAAGTCAACCAAAAAAGAAACAAAACATCTGTATAGAAAACATTTCGTTGATTATTTTTATTTGTTCAACTCTCATTTAGATCCCTATGGTAACTCTCATGCAATCTACTCAACCAATTCTAACCGATGAACAATGGAATCTGCTTTCTGACTTATCCTATTGTTATGATGAGCATAGTCAAATATCTATATGTGAACGATATGTATCTCTACAAAGTACTTTACCCTTGAAATTACGTTTTAAATCCGCATCAATGATTGAATTGTTTCAAACGTTAATGAACGGCTGTCGATTGTTATACACAAACAATCGAGATTTGTATTCGTTATCGTTCAATGACCGTTCTGTCTTACTTCACAAAACGTTCAAACACGTCGAATGTATTTCGACGAACTTCATTCTGAGTCGAATCGGGCTGACAAATTATCCGGCGTATTACAATACACTAGAAACGATTATTCATCCGAATGTCATACCGACAGCAAAATTGATCGCCAATCGATGTGATTTCGACACCACTGTTATGAAATTATTTCTCGCTATTCTTTCATTTTCGACCATCAACTTGACAGTTTATGATACGAAAACATCCACAGAAAATCTGTCGGATATTAAACAAGTTTTACATATTCAAGATACGTACATAGAATTGACATGGCGATATTTAATTTACAAATACGATGCGAAACGATCGATTCTGTGCTTTTCTGATCTTATCAGATGTTTCTTTGCTGTAAATAATAGTGTAATGCAGACGTATGACATTCAGTGGTTGACGGATGCAATGAATTATGTGGTGAATCAAACGGAAGACACAATACGTTACAAGTGATAACTCTTTGTCTTTGTTTTAATCTTTGAAATAGATAATTTATAGGTAAATACCAGTCTAAATCTTTCAGTAGTGACAACAGTAGCAAAGACGTTAAGCAACTGTGTTCAGTATAAACCACGAACACATCGAGCATGCTATCATTCATGAAGCTATTCATCAGGAAAAATTAATTTAGGCTTATAATTGTACTAAACGACGATTTCGTGATATCACTAGAAGAAGTACTAAAATATAAGATTGTTTTCGATTCATTTGCACGATACTTTGAGATGTCAATGCAACAGCAGTAATAATGAGTGTCGTTTAGATAAGTCTATTGAATGTCCAAATTGTTCGTTGAGAAAGCCGAAAAGAGAAGCAGAAAGTGATGAATAGGAACTTGATTATCCTGTCGATGCCCGAACTGCAAAAAGTTGTCTGTACTTAGGAATGAACCGAGTATTTCTTTTCATCAAATATCTATCTCAATGAATATTTTCACACAGAATACGCTCTTGGCCTATAAGATGGAACGAATTGATAATAAATTGCTAGGAAAATGGACACTTTTTTCGTACCAACAGTCATTCTACAAGTACATTATGCGTGTTGACCTTTTGAAAAAATGAATTGGTAATATAATGATCATCCCTTGTGTCTGTATGACGTGGCCAAAAATCGAATTGCACATGCAAATAAGTAAAGCATTTATTTTACAAAGTGTCCTTATACAAAATGCGCACTTGATCATCTGGATAGAAAAGATTGAGAACAAAGTGCCACGGAAAAGGACATTTTTTCACATCAATATTCATTGAATAGTTACATTGAGTGCGTTGGTTCATTATAGAGATCATTTGTTGATCACAGTCAAGTGTTAGTTCAATAGTATCATTCACTTCGAAGTCACAGTTATATCCATTGAAACGAGAATGCGTCGCACAATTGAGAATGACTGAATCTTGTCCGCCCCAACCGTAACATGTTGGCACTGCCCAAGTGTGTGCCTGCAATGTTGTTTTATGTGAAATAATGCCAAAAAAGATCCATTTGTTGTTATTGAACGATTCGATTCGAAAGCGAAAACGATGCTTGCCACGGCTGTATTCATCACTGCCACGCACCACTGCATGAGCAACTGACGGACCGTGAATGACAGTTTGTTGTCGATTTTCGACGCGTAAATCGCCGGCAAATATGTCGAAGATGTCATCGGGATACTCACAGATAGAAAGTTTGGAGATGAACTCATCGTGCTGAGTGATTACATGAGGTGGAGATTGAACCAAGGAGTGAAGTCTCGCAAGTTTATTTGACAAATTTTGTATATCCACAGTCATGATATTACCTGAGTTCTGACAATTGGTTAATTCTTCGTGTAAATAATTTGATCGTTTACATAGTTTCTCTTTGTATTTCTCGATTTTCGCCGCAAAATCTTGTCGATAATCATGTGCAGTTTGTTGAATCTTTTCGATCGACTTCCTTTCCCATTCGTCAATAAATCTAAGAGACTGTTGATCTTCGGACTCTATTGATTGTTTTAACTGTTGAAAATCAAGAAGAAGTCTGTCGAATTGTTGTGCAACCGAAACGGATGCACCATCGTTAGGATTGCGTGTTACTTCAGCCATGTTTTGTAAAACAGAGGATGTGAAAAAAAAAACAATTTGGGTTTTTTTACGCTTTCCTCTCGGCAACGGAGTGGAAAAAACCATATGTAATTGAGTATCGCGTCATCATACAGAAAGGAAGCAACAGAACGAAATATTGACTGTCCGTTATTAGTCATCGTATGTCATGAAGAAACTCAGCAGGTGAATCATGAGAACGACAAGCTTACACAAATGAAGAGTGAGAGTGTGAGTTTCTCCTTACCATCGACTTTTGACGAAATGGACCAATTTTGTTCAGTTGGAAGCTCAACATTTCAGACCATTCATTGCCGAAAACACAAAATTATTTCATAGGGAATTTTATTCAAATGTGAACTCAAATCTTTGCAAGCATGCAGTTTCACGATCGTTAATAGACACATTTTCTTCCATATCAAATCTAAAGTCAACGTGAAGATTTAATTGATCTGCGTATTTTTCATGTTAGCTTATTATCTGATGAGTTATGGAACCTACAATAGAAGTTCCCTCGTCAGTACATTTCACCATACGGCGAACTTGAAACGTTATTTAGGTAGAGTGAGAGTAGCGAAACTGGTTTCATACATCTCCGTTTTCATTTTCTCAGTCTCAGTTACTTTCATCTTCAACGATAAGAACTTGTTTAACAATGGTAGCAGAATAAGACTAAGAACAAAATAAACACATTTTTGTCCACATATGACAGACTAAGAATGTTCTCGTATATTTGCACAAACAAAGATAATAACATCATATTCTCTACTGGAAGAAAAAATATTTTTATCTACGATAAACATTTCCTATATAGATCGAAATCGAGGCAACTCGGACATATGATGTTATTCCTTCCCGTAATATTAACTATGCGTAAAAAATGTCATAACAATTCTCTTCTATGTTCCAAACTATAAATACCACTTATAAAGGAGGAAAGATACACATACAAATGTATTTAATCACCATCAACTCTTACATCCGTATCATATTTAGGAGGTGAGGTATCTGTTTATGAACATAAACATGGACTTTATTAAATCTTAATGACAAAAAATTTTGTTATGTATTTCATTAACACGCTATACAAATGAATTATGTCAAACAATTTTAGAATATTTATCACATACACATAATCGTTGCATTCAACCAAGAGAAATCTGCGAAATCACAATGATACTAAATGAACTTTTGCGAGTCGTATGGCGATGTCATTCGAATTCATCGTCTGATTATGTTCTCGATACGAGTTGACAATTCAAATGCCGCACTTTTAAATAACATTGATGTTTTTATTGGATGTTCTTCAAACAAAACATGTTCTCAATTTTTGTATAATATTATTGATGCATCATTTGATTTAGAATTCAAATATAGTACATAAATAGAAAAATAAACACGTACAACAGTTGTAATTACTGGTCCATGTATTATCAAAGCATGAACGTTATTTATTTCTTGATGATATCAATCAATTTGTAAATGAAATTTTACCAACAATGGAATACGGTGTATTGGAATTAACAGAGGGTTACACGTCCGGAACGAATTGTTCATTTATAACAAGATGAATTACAACAATTACAAAATAAACATACTAGAGATGTTAAGGTTAGGACTATTATATTGGCATTAGATCGTTTAGTTTCGATTCATCTAAGAAAGATGTTCATAGCAAATCGTATTCTTATATGGCTGATAATGATTTAAAATTATTGTATAAAGAAAGTGCATGGCATAATGCAGCACAAATGAAAATGAACAGACATGTGAAGAATTAAGACAAAATAATTCTGATTTTTCTACAAATAATCGTCGATTTATTGAATTTGATAGTGAAAACTTTCGTATTAAATCAATTGAAGTTTATAGAACAAATCCAGCTGATTATAATGAAAATATTCAATTTATGCACACAAAGATATTATTGTATCACGATTTGATTCAATTCATTCTTTATCAATTCTAATTCTAGCTATATATCTATTATAGATTGACATATGTACCAGTTATTAATGAACATACAAATATATTCGAATCAAAATGAAATAAAACGAATGAAAAACTTCATGCAATTGACAATAAAGTATCAAACAAAATAATGAAAATGTAGAGTACAACATTAGCAAACTAAGCGAAAGATTGAATTTCTTAGAAAACACAGCAAATAATCAAATTTCGAATGTGAAGATTTCTATAAGAAACATTGAAAAAGTACACATTATACAGAAAACATTCTTCGTCATAAGTTAAAATGTCTGACCTATTTTTATTTTTTTGATTCTTCTTCACTTCTTCAAATCATCCTATCTTCTCTCTCTTCTAGTATGTATTTTTAATAGCACAGTATGCGATTCAACTACATTTACATAAGCCAATCATCGTTCGAGCTTATTTGTTTGGAGGCCGCTGTAGTCGACAATGTTTTTGTGTCTCTCAGAAATTCACATTCATATGTAATTGTATACAATACACCGTCATAGTAGTTTCTTCCTGCTTTTTTTCTCTAGAGCTTGAATGATGAAAAGAGACGAGGATGATGCAATGATAGTACCTATTTATACCAGTTGATTGAGTGACTTCCGACAGATTTGAAATAGTCTTTATCTTTTATCACTAGATGGCAACNTTGATTACTGCACGACAAAATGATCCCACATACTCAAATGACGTCGAAAGACGTTTACGATCAATTGTTGGAGTTAAATTAACACCATTTCAAGATGAATACGACGTGAAAGAACCGCTAGGACGGGGTAAAACATCTACATGTTATCGTTGCATTCATCGACAAACTCGACAAGAATACGCCGTTAAAATTATCAAAGATGCTAGTATAAATGATCCATCAGATGAAATCGAATTGCTGTTTCGTTACAATCAATTGACACATATTATTCGAGTACGTCAAAGAAGACAATTTCTATTCGTTCTATATTGAATTCTTTTAGATGCGTGATGCGTTTTTCAATGCGCCCAAAGTGTACATCGTAACTGAATTGATGCGCGGCGGGGAATTATTCGATAAAATTCGTCAAGAGAAATCGTTATCTGAACGCGAAAGTGCAAAAATCATGAATGTAATTATAAAAACTATCGAACAATTACATCGAAATTCAATCGGTAATGAACAAGACTAATTGAATTTTGTTGTTTCAACTAACAAAAACATATTTTCATCCTAGTGCATCGTGATCTGCAACCTCGTAACATAATGTATGTCAATGAGAGCCGTCAACCATCATCACTACGTATTGTTGATTTGGGCTTTGCTAAACAACAACGTGCTGAGAATGGCCTGTTGATGACACCTTGTTTTACCAAAGAATATGCTGCACCAGAAGTTTTATCAAGGAAAAAATATGATGAATCTTGTGATATTTGTATGTCTTGATTGTTGATCGATGATTCAATTACAGATGATCTGTTTAGGGAGTCTTGGAATTCTTCTATACACCCTACTGGCTGGAAATACACCATTTGCACTTGATCGAAATGATTCACATGATCTGATACTTGCACGAACAGCGGTTAAATTACAATTTACTGGACCAACTTGGGATCGGGTGACGGATAATGCAAAAGTAATGTGAAATCGAAACAAGTTTTCCTATTGAAATCAATTGTCTATGTCAATTTCTAGGCTCTTGTTAGTGCAATGTTAGATGTCGATCCGAAGAAGAGACCAACAGCTTTGGAGCTTTGTAAGCATCCATGGTTTGCAGATATGGACAGTCTTCCGAACACGAAACTAAGTAATATTCAGGATCATAATCTTGTTCGAGTATGTCCATTGATGAATGATACGATAAATATAACTTTGATTTGTCTTCCATTAGCATAATCTCGACGCAACATTTCATGCGATCAATGCTAATCCCAGTAAAAATTTAACCCTCGGTCCCATTGGTGATTCCAATCTATTCAAACGACGTAATGAACGAACTAATCATCAGCAGCAAACAGGAAAAGTGAAATAAAGAAAATTTTTACGTATTATTTTGTTTATTTATTCCTTCTCAAACAACTGATATGTTTGTGTCTGTTTTTTTTATCCGTTTTGTTTTTTTCTCTCTCATTGTTTTTCTGTCTCGGTGGTGTGTATAACTTTCTGTCATGTTTTGTTTATTTCCTTCTCTTCAGGCTATGTATAACCTGAACAGTATCTATATATTTTGTTCTCTTTCTCTCTCATTCTCGTTGTTGTTACTTCTATGATTATCATTGTCGCTGTTGTTCGTTTTGTTCGAAAGTTTTTCACATGCTAGTACGATGCAAATGTACAAGGGGAAAACGTATACATACAGACAATACGACTGGTTCCGCATTTGGGCTTCTGTTTACCGTATATGAGCTATTGATGATGAGCGGTCGCAAGGAAAAAGAAGACAACGAAGGGAAAAACTTTGCACGAGAATGTTTCATTCCAAACGAGTTTTTTCTTCTCAAGTGAACAGTTCTTTGTTTTGGTTATGTTCTTCGTTCTGTTTTTGTTTATTGTTTGCCTTTGAGACAAGACTTGTATGACACACTGACTGTTTAACAAAACTGAAACAACAGTGAGAAATAAAAGGAAAAATTCTATATGTTTCAATCGATAGAAATCTTTCTCAAATCTGACTTAGATAGAAAGAAGACCACCTTTGGATTTCAACGGGGGGTTTTGTCTATAAAAGTAAACTCTTTAGACATTATCTTATTCTTATCTCGTATCTTGTCGTATGATATAAATATTAACATAGTTGCTTGCGTTATTAGTTGGGGTTTCTTTTTTATTATATAGATATTTTGTAATTATCTTTGGGACACGATGAGAATACTGAGTGTACCGATAATTGTGTCGGTTTTATTGGTAAGTATTCTTTCGAACGTGAATGCGTACAAATCCTATTCGAAACATGAATTATGGCGTGTGTATGTTCGAAATAATGAACAAGTCGCTCGAATGTTAGAATTTAGTCGGATTGCACATCTTCATGGAATTAACTTTTGGTCCGAGGAATTCCGTATGAACATTCCAGTAAGTGATCAGCTTTATTTCCTCTCCACTATTCTAGTTTATCTGATTAGATCATTGTTAGTGTTCCACCTGAATCCGTTGAAGACTTTGCCGAATATCTTTTATCATCTGATAGTAAGATCGAATATGATATCATGATGAATGACATCGGCACAGTTATCGAACAACAAAAATTGACACATAAGGTACGACCATCGACAATGAATGCTGATGATTTTGCTTATGATAAATATCACACTATTGATGAAATTCATGCATGGATTGATAAAATGGTTCAAACATATCCTACATTAGCATCGACATTCACTGTTGGTCAATCGTATGAAAAACGGGATATGAAAGGTTTGAAAATTTCATCAAGTAAACTCGCCAGGAAACGTGACGGAACACCAGTCAACCAGAAAAAAGCCGTATGGTGGGATGGAGGTACGTTTAGGAACTTCTATGTAATAAGAGATTGATCGCCTTTATTTCAAGGTATTCATGCTCGGGAATGGATTAGTCCAGCGACAAACATCTTCATTGCTCATGCACTTCTATCCAATTATAGCAAAGATCCGAATATCACACATTTGGTTGATCAATTTGATTATTATATTTTACCGGTGTTCAATGTTGATGGTTATGCCTATACGTGGACAAAAGGTAGAAAAGAGTCGCCTTGAATGAATGCATTTTAGTTTTGTTTAACCAGATCGTTTATGGCGTAAGACTCGTAGCAAAACAAGCATTCCACTTTGTTACGGTGCAGATCCGAATCGTAACTGGGATTACAAGTGGTGCGAAGGTAAGAATCTGAACAATACATAAATAGAAAACAAAAAGCTCTACATTCATTTCAGGTGGTGCTTCACGTGATCCATGTTCAGATACATATTGCGGTCATAAAGCATTTTCCGAAGTTGAAACTACACAAGTTTCTCAATTCATCGGCGCTCATAATGATACAATTGTACATTACATTAACTTTCATTCGTTTTCACAATTATGGATGACACCATGGGGTAGGACTTCAATGGATCTGACTGTTTAACAGTCCTACGTTTTTTGTCTATAGGCTACACGACTAAAAAACCAGATCAATTCAAATTACAAGATGATGGTTCAGCAGCCGCAGTAAATGCTCTCACTGCTGTTTATGGTTCGTTGAAAAGATCGACTATTTTCCATAGCTTATCTTCGATTTTCTAGGTACCCAATATGTGCATGGCAATATCGGTGCCACTATTTATATTGCATCAGGCAATACAGTCGATTGGACATCTGGTACAGCTAATGTAATATTCAGTTATGCGGTTGAACTTCGTGATACTGGTAAAGAAATTCGCCATTTCGAATAGAATTACGCATCATTTTTATTTTCTAGGTGAATATGGATTTCTATTACCAGAAGATCAAATTATTCCAACTGGCCAAGAGACATTAGCTGGGGAAATGGCTCTGTTGAAATATATTGAAGGACATGTTTATGGATAAGACCGCACGTTGATTCCATAACCATGAAATCAAAATTGGACTCACGTTTCTATTCCGTCTTTTTCATATAGTATTTTAGAATACTAAACGATGATTTCTTTTTTTCTCTTTGCATACAATTTTCCAAACTTAATTATTTCCATGTTTCTTCATGTCGTTGTTTCTCAAATCTTGACAGAAAATATTTACTCAACTGAATCGTGAGCATTGACACTGCGAAAAGCTAACATTGCTTCTATTAATAAGCGGGAAGTCTGAGAAGTGAACGTGCAATACATTTCAAATACGTCATGTGCAGTTGTAATCAGTATCCGATGATGTCGTACAAAAGTCAATAGAAATCTGCGATCGATCGTGTTTACGTCTTATCGTTCAAGAAGAAAAATATAATTCGGCGTCATAATAAACAAGCCGAACGTAACCTGTTCGTTTGTAGTCACTCTTCCGTTTCAAGTCTTCTTTCATTTAAATCAAATTTATCATGGGCGTTTACAGGCAACGTTGTTACATCTAAACAACTTTCTCCTTGTACTGTAACAGACTGAAATCAAACGAAAACATCTGTTTTCAATACATCTTCGAATCGGAGAGATGGTTGCTATACAGAATCAGACGATTTTCAAACCATGGTAAGTCGTATAATTGTTACTTATCAATATCAATACAACTCCTTACAGTATTTGATGTTCTTGAATAAATAGTTACATATATAAAGTTGGAGAAGTTCTTTTTTCTTCACGACGTTCTTATCATTGAAATATGTGTCCTTGCGATGAAAGATTTTCTTTTATTATTTGACTGTATACGTGTTTCTTATCATCATCATCATCATCAATATGATATTTGTCTTTTCTCGTTGCCAGGATGACGTCTAACGAAACAACAGTCATCAAGCCACTTGTCCTTGATGAACATCTATCGCGTTTGAAACCTATCGATGAACAGCGCGGACTTGCCGATAAACAAATTCTTCAAGTACAACCTAAACTTCATAGTTCATCTTTATTTCCACCAATTGCACGTGCTGCGCCACCGAAATCAATGGTAACGAGTCGTAATATGGAATCCCTGGCGTCTTCGATTGTCGGTGGCTTGATAGGTCGTGAAGGATTTCTACGTTCGGTTTCACGCAACAATACGTCATCAATCACATCGGGCTCGCCGCGATTGCAAACGGGAATAAATACGCGTCCAAAACGAACATCATTATATGATCATGTTGGACCGAAAATCAATACAGGTTTAGCCATACGTACCGAGAGTTTAACTCGAGCCGAGACTGACAGTCATCGACTGGGACCTATTCGTCCGATCAATTGGCGTCTATTGAAACAAGAACTAGAACGCGACCTGGAAATACGCGCACAGACAAAACGATTACAGTTTAATTCTGGTATAATCTATGCTCAACAGCTAGCAACATTGGGAGATCTTGTTCGAACAAAGGTCAAATCTCATGTCGCAGCAACAATGAATTACATTGAAGAACGCTATAAGATTGTCGTGCATCTCACAGTTTTCCAAACGAGTACTGCTGCATTACATGTCGTGTCGAGATGCCTATGGAATTCGTATACAGACAACTCAATAACAATTAAAATGCATGGCATAGACTGTGATATACTTATCGTTGTATTCTTGTGCTATACAGAATTGGGAAGTGTATAGAAGTATATTTGTGAAATTGATTTTTCAGCATTTGAAAATGCTTCAAATAAATATGAATACTTCAATACTTATTTGTACTTTTGCATAGATAATAGACTAACGACACAGTAGGCATACTAGAAAAGGTTAATCCAAGCCGGTCCGTCTAGTTCGGAGAAATATGCATAATGATATATCATTGCTAATCGTTCCATCAGTTCTCTAATCGATTCTCATATCTCAACACGTTATAAATTGGCAAATATATTCCAGTATCGAACGTGCGGTTCTCCGTCGACTTACATTACATCAAGACGAGTACCAATTGGCACTTATTGGGTCAAACAGAACATAAAGAATCTATTGCATCCAATGCACTCGAGATTGGATTATTTTTAGATGAGAAAATATTTTTATTTATATATCGAGTTGGCTCATCAGCTGATCACAATGATTCGTTTCAAAATGGAATTGACCATTGCATGTGCATTGAGTTGGCTTCGTCTGACGGTCGAATTTGATTGGAAACTGGCAATGGATGTCTTCCGAGAAAAAAGACGACAAGTATTCAACTGAGAAGATAAGAAATCGTTTATTCGGCTTTACCTGATTTACAGGAAGATTTGAGGTGAATAGATTGTTTAACTAATAATCCGTTTGCGTATGTCGATGAAGTATTGATGACTGGTTCCTGTTAGAAAAAGAAGAGGATGTGATATTCGATCAGAGACTCTTGTACAAGAAAAAGAATACTTTGCAGCAGGAACATTGACGATTGAATATTATCGAAGAAAATCGTGGTGTAACGAAGAAAAAATCTCTTCCATTATCAACATAACCTTTCGATGACGACATAATCGTTGAGAATTGATTATTTCCATGATCAAGACCAAATAAATGTCCGAGTTCGTGTAAATAAGCGCCAATAGAATAAAAGAGAGTATCTACTCTGAGAAGAAAACATCAATGTGTCGATTAAATCACTCCTGTTTACTTGTCAGTCATAACATTTTCATAAAACTCATCGAATGAGCTAGGCAAATGAAGAAAATGTTCAGGCAAATTCAAAACAATCACATTCTTAAACGCTATAATCATTCAATAAGCAAATTAATTTCAAATTTCGAAGTAATCATCAACTAACTCGACGCAAATGTCAGCGATGGTGAAATCGATGAGTTGATAACCAATTTAATCGTTGCATCTTGGGCAATATCCATGGTGTATATCTGCCGATAAATTTCTCTGAATACATCTTTATCTGTAGTTTTCTCTTGGAAATCTTTCCTTGACATTGATACATGATGAATTTGATTTTCGACTTGAAATAATAACGAACGTTTATAAGCTGTTTGTTTATGCAGAATTTCATCGAATGTAGATCGAACAAGTTTAGTTAAGAATAGGTATTGCTTGCATGTTCGTTCGATATTGTTAGTAATATCATCTGGATAAGTGATGTAGATTAATCGAAGAATAACATTTTTATTTGATTTTAGAGGATCGTAGAATAATGTCAATGATAGGTCAGACATTTTTGTGCACAAACGAATTTGATTTTCACCAGGAATGAGTTCAACATAGATCTACGGCAATTTTGAGTCATTGCTAAGTAAAACTTTCGATTTTACTTTGAAAAGTCCTTCGATTATTGGCCATTGATATTTCCCATTGACCAAAACAGATTCTTGATAGATACTATCATATCCGAATAATTGAACAATTGGTTGATGGACAGTTTGTCCTGCTTGATAATTGATAATCCAAAGGCACATAGAAAATCTGAAGTGAATCGTTACAGAATATTTGTACCCTAAAATAGTCACATAGTTGAATACTTCTTCTCTAAACACTTCCAGATTTCCTTTGAGTAGAAAGCGACATACACAACAGCGCAGCAGGCTTATATGTAAATATTTCGAGTTGAATAAACAAAAATAAAAATTATCGGCATCCATCCATTGAAGTTCGACATTTTCACCTTTTGACATAAAAATAACACCAACTTGTCTGACATATTTATTCTAATTGAAACCATTCCTTCAAAACATCCTTCTTTCGCACTCCTACGTAGTTCTTTATCGATCAATTATCTTCTACACACAATTGCGAAGCCTATTGATCAACTGTTGAAGAATACCAAATGACTCGAGATCTCGCAACAGATGTCAAACAAATTGATGGTCGTAAATGTTACACTTAACTTTCTCAGTTAAATATTATCACGCATCTACATAGCAGATAATGATATTTGCTTTTTATCTATTTCAATACCGTCGATGAGATCGAACAAGAATAGAACTTGCCGTTTTCGATAAGCAACGACGCGTACAGTGCAAAGCAAATGAGATCACAACAACACCAATGATAACTATCAACACAACAACAAGAAACAGTCAACAGCTATCATTAAAAAAAAGGAAAGTAGTCGGTAAGTTGTTAGACAGGCGAAAGTATGGAATGATAGTGCCAGATGAGAAAAATGTCATCTATCATGTCAATCAGCCGATCCCGAGTGGAAATTGAGATGGGCAGAGAAAGGGGGGGAGAGAGAGAGAGAGAGCGAAGGAAAAAGGAAAGAAGAGATCTTGCTAGACGACGCAAGATATACCTCTAATATTCTCTCGTTATTCTATTCGACAAGAGAAAGACAATTTCCGTAATCATCTTCATAATATCATCGTTGTCGTTCGTCGTCGCTTTTTCTTTTATCTCTTGTTTGTCCGCTATCACCGCCGCTGCACTCGTCGCATTTGATCAAATAATCTTTCGTGTGGATTCCTATCAATGGCATCGGCAGGTACAACAACTGATGTCACATCTAATAACGGTCGAATCGATGTGGTTTCATTGATTGTTCTCGTCTCCTATCCGAAACATTATCGAATATTCGCCGAAAAAGAACTCGTTCATGAAATCCTCCCCAATGCAGCTGAGTCCGCCTTTGTCTGGTTTGGAAACTATTCAGCTGAGAAAGACGAACATCCACTTGTTTATATGGACGTGCTCAGCAAAATGATTCGTTTAGGTTATCAAATATCAGCATCGACCGGTGGCGGTGGCAATCCAGCTATTGGTGATAATATGTCAACTCATACATCACATTATATTTTAGTGCGAAAACGAGACTGATCAGCAACACGAATGGCCAATGATTGATCAAAAATCAAATAACGCGGTGTTTGACTTAGTAGAAGCATTTCTTTTCCTAGAGTGTATTATCTTTTTCAATATTTTTTTCTTTCGAGTAAAATTCTTTCTTTCTAATATATCCGTCATATCTTCGCAATATCAACTAATTTCTTTCACACTCAGCTAGTTTTGTTTATTATGTGAAGAGAATAGAAGAACAAGACCAGATGATACTCATCAAATTATTCAAGCAACATGTGTGTGATATATAGATAGTGCGTGATATAGAGAACTTACACAACAGGAATACAATAATAGACAACCTTGGGTAATTGGCATGAATGCGATCACCAAATCAAATCTATAATGAGGAATTTGAAAGTAAGGAAATCAATCGAGGGGGGTTGATTTCAAGTGATACACATCTGTACCTGTTGTCATGCAATGTGGATCGAGAGATAAGAGTCAACACAGTTCTCATTTTCAACTAATTAATAAAATGTCGATCCCGATGGACTCGTTTCTTGTCACATTTTCGGGAAAAGAAGATTTCTTTCTCGCAAACATGTCTGGTCTGAATCTATCCAGCGTCTTCTTTTATCCAGATATGTGCGAGAAATCTGAGAGCTTAATGAATGCACATACTGTGCTATCGTTTAAGAAATGTCTTGGATTGATTATTCGATTCTGTTATTTAATACAATTACGACAACTCGAAGATATGTACTTTGAACTATGTAATTAAGATATATGCGCTAGGAACCTTCAACCATATAGTATACCTCGACCTTCATAGATATTAATGTTCAAGAATATTTTCTTGTTTTCTTTCTGATCGATGATGGTTGTTCTTCGATTTGATTCGATTTGTGAACTTTGTTTTCTAATCGATAATGTTAGATGACAGTAGTTGTCAGGATGAAACATCGATGTCTCGACAAGACAAACATGTTAATTGATATTTACTAGAAAATATCACAGTAGAACCGTAGTATTAAGTTTGAAATGTTTCAATGAGTAACAATGATTGTTGTCACATGTGATTATTCATAGGAAGGAAACGCTTTGTTCTATAATTCTACATTCAAAGGTAAGCAGATAGACGAATGTACGTAGATGGAAGAACACCTGTTTCCTATTTGATGAATAAGAAATGTACTGCAAAGTTGACAACAAAACGAATGCACTAGAAAACTGTCAAAGGTCATTCGCGTTTCGAGAATGTGTACCAATGCATATTTCGAGTTATTTGATCTAATTTTGATACGAAATTATTGAATTATCTTCTGCACACGAGCGTAGGAGAGAAAAAAACTACAATGTGACGGCATTGAACTCGACGCGTGAATATTTATTTCGTAGTTATACTTAGATTTAGCGTAGGCAGATATGCCGATTGACATTGAAGACAAATTTGCCCGTCAAACGAACGTTCACCGACGTCGTCGATATGTAATCTTCGAACAGAACTTCGATGCTGTGAAAACTATTAATCATCCTTCATCATAGCAAACACAGGTGTCTAATTGATATTTGTTTGAATATGCACATCCTGATCTGTCTTGAAAAGATCATGGAAGGCGTTGGCGACAGTTGAGGAAACGTGAGATGTACAAATCAGTTTGAATTGAAAGCGCGATGTAGATATGACTTTTTTTTGTTTTGAAAATAACGAACTATGAGCTGATTACTCTACAAATCTCATTTTTCCAAATCCATGTGGATTAAATAATCAAATATTAATAATTTTGTAAGTTTGAATATAAATCGTACTACTTCCGATTTTTACTAGAGAAAATATCGTAAAATATTCATTAATATACATAATAGAATTTTGTCTTCTTTCTCTTCCATTCAGTAATCGAATTCCTTCTTCTTCTTATTATTATCATTCTGTTAATCATTCCTTAGGTTAAATTGCAATGATTGAAAAATGAGAAATGACTTTTTTTTTCTAGCCTACTCATCGTGTGTAATTACACGCTGAGGTCATTAGAGCAATTAGACTTAATAACTCTTTTCGAAAGAAACAAACTCACCGGATACTGTGCCTGATTAATCATCATAAAAAAAGATGACTATTGAGAGCCAAACTAAACCTCTTCGATGAATGTAGGTACTCATGAAATACAAGTCATATGATAGTACTTAAAGAGATGATCAACCTGTGAGAACAGATCATTGATTTACTAAATTGTATATAATAGAAGAGAGTGCAAAATATTTACTGATTATAACTTGATGAAACTTGTGACTAAAGTTTCTCTGTATAAGAATGAGAAACAGTGCGTTTTTCTTTACACTGTGATTATTAATCGATTGCTGCGGGGCAAGAAAATGAGTATATCCTATATTGTAAAGATGACTAGCTTCAGATTGACGTAGAATTCAATCCTGCTGAATAGATTTGTAATTGTGTCATTGCGAGATGAGCTGTCACACAATGATTGTTAGCATACACACGATATAATGACACGAACAGTTTGTTACATCAGTGGGCTGCAGAAAGGCTTCTAGTAGACTTGCTCATATAAGTTCGACATATGAAAATTAACTTTCTAAGTGCGTACTTCTTCATATTTGAATATCATTAATTATCCCCGATGAGATGACCTTTCGTCTATGTTATTTTCCGAAAGTTTATTTGATTAGATGTGTAGATGATGTTTACACATATCGAGCAACGAGATTTTGTTTTCGTTTTCTACATCCGATATTTTTTGCAAAGGAAAGAATGACGATGATAAATGTATATGATTATATTTCCTGCTTTTGTCATTATCGTATGAAGAGAGAAATCAGTGATCAAAATAAACAAAAGAAAACGACGCAGTTTGGAGTATTTCGATTGCCCACTTCGTAAATATCTGCTATTCAAGCTCAGAGAAAAATTCCTTCGATAGCTCTTTATATCGCGAAAGACATCTCGTTCATTTCTGCGCGCTATTACATGAAAAACTCAATTGTGTTTGTCTGTGATGTTCCAATGTAAGGAGGAAAATGAGAGAGAGAGAGAAGATGAGACAATGACATTCAGCTTCGTTGAAAATCACGATGAAAGAAAAGGGTAGACGAGAGAGGCACAGACGAATAGAGACAGCAATTCTAACAAAATTAGTATATATACTTATGAAGTAGTAAAGGATAGAAATCGAAGAAAATGAGAGAAAGCATACAAGACATAAGAAGAAAAACAAAGTGTTTCCGAGTTGCGTGTCTTGGATCGTTCATTTAAATCAAACATAAATGTATTTTGAATAATTGAAATCATTTTATAGAGATTTAAATTCAAATTTTCTATTCCATCAGACATGAACGTAAGTTTGTTTTCCTCTCCCTCATATTCGCATATCTACGTTTGTTTATTCATTCATTCAAACGATCGCGCTCTATATATAAAGATCGATCTCGAAATTAGTTTTATTTCATTAAAAAACTACCGGTAGAATTTATTTTTAGATTTTATAAAATTTTATTTGCCCTTCTCTTTATTTCCGCATTTCTCCAACATAAAAACATGAAACCGGTGCTGTCGGTCTTACTTATCTTTGTACTTGTCGTTGGTAAGTATTGCCAGTTGATGACATCGTTGGATTAACTCGAACATTCGATCGTTCTACATAATTAAATTTCTTCTTCTCTTCCTTAGTTTTGGCGCATCATGCCGAAGCAATGAACAAACGTTACTATGATTCATGGAACTCGAATAATGATTTAAGCAACGATGGAGACAATGACGATTTATCAAGAATCTTTCCATTTCGTCAAAAAAGTTCGAAAAAAGAAGATCCATGTGCCAATAAACCGTTGTGGTATTTGAAATATCAAGCTCGTCTTGGCAAATTATCACCGTTCTACGATTGTCTCGGTGTGTACGGTCTCTAAAATCTTGGAACAAACGCGAAGCATGAGAGACAAGTTGTATCATTTATTTTCCTTCTTTTTTTTTCTTCGTAAAAAATCATTTCATGCAAGAAAAAAAGAAAAAAACAACACGATATTCCAACGAGAGTATATGCATTCTTCAAATAAATATTCGTCAAGCACAAAAATCAAACATAAAAATAGATAGAAGTTCATTCTTTCTTTCTTTCAAACATTTCTTCAAAACAAAAATAGAATCGAATGAAATACATCACAACTATATTGAAACAAAACGACAACAAAAAAAAAAGAAAACACGTATTAAGACATCTGTAGATCACCAGAATCACTGTTTAATTAAGTTCGCCTATCACAGAACTATCATATACATCGAGCTACTAACTTGTAACACGCATATCAACTAATTGTTCGCGAATTCGCATACCGTCTGCGTTCGTGGCCTGCCAGATAGTTTCAAGATCAACTTCGAGATTTCTGAAAACAAACGGAAAGAATAAACATCAAATGACACTATATTTAACAAACCGTTTCTCATTGTAGAGATCATCGACGAGTGCTTGTTTTTCATTTAACAAGCTAATGAGCTGTTGAATGCGTTGTTCATGCTCCAAACAACGTAATTTCAAATTATCATGCTGCTGTTTCAATCTAATTAGAAAATATACATGACTTTCGTTTATTTATGCCAAGATGCATACTGTTCTTGAGCTTCACTTGAGCGTTCCTTTGTTCTACTTTTATAATTTTCAAGACGCTCTTCCAATTGAGTTAATTTGTCTCCTTCATCATTTAGTCGTAGTTGAGTTTTATTCAATTCATCTTCTTTCACTTTGGCCTATTGAAAATATCGAACGAGAATGTTAAAAGGAGAATAGTTCACATACCAATTCTAAATAAGTATCACGCTCAATTTTCGTTTGTTCAAGATCCTCATTAGTCTTGTCCAATATTGTTGTTATTCGCTGTTCTTTGACTTGTTCTAATTCGAGCTTCTTCTCATAAGTTTGCACACGTAGTTGCAGTTTTTTAACTGTTTTCTTCAGAACTTTGATTTCACCTTTCAATCGTTCAACATCACTACGTTGATCGGTTAATTTTAAATGTGAAATTCGTTTTGCGGCTTCGGCATCCTGGAAAATTACACAATTCATTGTAGGCAGATACATCACAATAAAAACTCACTTGGACACGACGGAGGAGTAATTGCATTTCATGAGCATGTTTCTCACTTAATTCATCTAAAAATACATCCACAAACGTGAGTTCGAATCAAAATGAAAGAACGCATTTGCTAATCAAGTACCTGTTAATCTTTTCATTTCGCTAATCTCTTGCATATGTTCTTGAACATGGATTCGGTGAGAATTATCAAGCATTAATTGATCATATTTCCGTTTGAGATCATCGTTTCGTAGACGGATTGTGTCTAGTACTCGATCACTTTCGCTTTTTTCACTTTCCACAATCAGTAAACGTCGTGTTAGATTCGAAACTAGAATTTCTCATAGGAATTTCGCCGATTTTATCGCACATTCAGGAATACCTTCTTGAATTTGCGTTTTCTGCACGTCAGTCAAACGATTCGTTTGTAGATCAAGTTGCTCTTGTAAAACTTTGTTTTCTTCCAAGACAAGATACGCTTGTCGTTTGATATGTTCACTAAAGAGCAACGAGAAGAACAGATCAAAGAGTTTACACCAAGCAAATTTCTATTTACATATCGGAGAGTTGATGATCATGATTGCCAGATGTTGTTGCCGTTCGGGCAAGTCGTTCATGTAATGAAGCATTTTCATTAATAAGTAATTTCACTTGTTCATGAATTGCATTCAATTCCGACTGAAAGCAAAAATTTGATTTGCGGTATTTGTATGGGTTCATTGCTTACTCGAAGTTTTTTGATAAACTCATCCTTTTCGAAAAGTTTTTCATCGTAGCAAACGAAAAGTGGAGCGAGAAACTTTTGATTGAGCTAGAACAACAGAATTTCGCGTCAAACCATGAAAACATAAAAACAATCGTACCAGCCAAATTGGTGATGGTCCTCTCAGTGGCAAGCCTTGCAATCTTCGTTGTTCTTTCTACAAACATAAAGAGAACAAATCAGATGCCAATTGAATATTGACGTTGACAATGTTCAATTATGTAAATAACATCGTTTGTACACGCGAAAAATGACGAGCACAATTTAATACAATGAAGTAAATCTGACTAGTGTTTAAACAAAACACATGAAATTCTTTCAAGGATGTATTCTTTTGTGAAAGAGAAGAACGTACTGATTCATATCTATACTTGAGAAACAAGAGTATTTAGTTTTAACTCGTAAGCGGATATTTTCAAGGTGAAAAATGATGTTTATTCTGTTCGAAATGAAATTCTAACTTATGACGTACTTCCATTTCTTTCTTGGACGACTTCGGTGGATGTGTTGCTTGATAATCACTCGAAGCTGCATTTAAACGATGAATGTAATCTTTAAGGAAATGATTTTCCTCTTTCAATTCACGTAAACTCGACTGATTTTGACCTGAATATAAAAAAGACAAGTGTACCATACGATTCGATCTATCCAAAACGAACTCTGAGTATAACGATCTTTCATCACACTTAGTTCGTTTTGTAATTGGTCACATCGATTTTGTAACGTTGTATTCAACTCTTCTAAACCTTTTGTTTGATCTAAAACAACCGAAAGAAATCTCTCGATTAGTAGGAAACAATGCGTTTACCACGTCCAGTTTGCTTCAGTATATCTGTTAGTTCTTGTTGCGAAAGTTTGTGAGATGTTTGTAACTGTTCAAGTAGTTCTTCATATTGTCGTTGAAGAGTCTAAATTAATCTCAACCATTAAGGAACGGAACTCGAAAGAACATTTCTATTTACTCGATTATTCAAGCGAAGCTGTTGAACTTCACTGTTCAATGATTGATTACGACGTTCAAGACCATTCAAATTTTGTTGATAGTCTTCGGGAGGTGGAACTATTATTTAATTGATGAAAGATAAGAAGTGAACGTTTGGCTTCAAGGTGAACAATGAAATCTTACCTAGTTGATTTAATATCGAGTTTTTCTTTACATCGAGCACAGTTGTCGAATCTTCTGATTTCGATGACGTCGACAACTCGTAATCTTCATGAACAACAGGTTCTTTCAACGAAACTGACCGAGCACTAGCAGGAACAGTGGTTGTATCATTCAGAGATGAACGTACAGTTCCTGTTGTTCGTGGCTCAATTCCAAAGCCCTTGGAATAAAAAGTTATTGATTTAATTCGATTCATTTATTCGTGTGTTTGTGTTAGATTGCTTACTTCGAGTTTGGCGTCGTTTCTAGCTGACGTTGGACCTGCTTGACTTTGAACAGGATTCAGATTTAATGGCGGGACGGATTGACGTGGAGAAGCAACCGCTGCTCGTCTTGCAGACTTTTCCTATTTGTAAAAAAATGAGATCAGTTGATTGACCAGAGACATAAGTTAAAACATACATCAATCGATCGGGATAATTCAGCTGTGAGTGCTTGTTTAGGATCCAGATGAATTGTCGAATCATGTTCTGTACCGATTGCTCTAGATTCTGCAGACGTATTCAAAATAAAATACAACAATTCTCTGAAGCGCTTTTATTCCAAGGACATTACCTTCATCATGAACAACACGATGCGTTAATCGCTTTTCAGGAGTAGGCAATGCTGATGATTGAGACGTCGTCTAGAATAGAAACATTTTCAAATGAAAATCTTCAGATCTATCTGCTCATTCTTACATGTTTACCAATTGGTTGTCGTTGTCTTTCATCTTCATCGCTAAATTAAAAATCTTTAGAAATAGAAATCATTCCGAACTTCGAAAATCGATACCTGTCTTCTTCGTCAGAACTGGGATCGATTCGTCCCATGTTTGTTTTCTGTACGGAACGTGTTTGTCCATCATGTTGTTGACGAGTATCGATATTAGTTAATGAAGATGATGGTAAAACGAGCAATTGATTCGTGGTAGAAGCATGAAGAAGAGCCGGAACGAATGAGCCCCATTGCTCAGTTCCACGGGTCTTTTGTTGAGGAAAATTTTTGGCGGCGGACGGAACAGCAACAATACTTGCCGACGGTATGATTGCCGAAGCAATGTGGGTGTAGAGTTGCTACGAATGAAATATCAAGGAAAAATATTTTTGAAGAGAGTTTTTTTATACTTACGGGTTCAGCTTTTTTGCCAGCTTTTATTTTCATATTTGAACTTAAGTGATCTGATGAACAAGAAGAAAAGAAGAGGGAGAGGAGAGAGAGAGAGAAAAGAAAAATACTTTCTTTTCTTTTATAATATAAAAGATTCAGGCCACAGACAATTACAAGGGATTTCCTTTTCACGTCTCAACCATGTTCGTAGCTGTTGCTAATAGTTATGAATATGTTCATAATTAATTATTGTAAGAAATTAGTTGAAAGTTCATTATGATTATAAACAAAACGATCGAATAATATGCGTAAAACTGAATTTTAAAAAGAAGACAACTTTTACAAAATGTAGAGGTCGTTCACAGTCATGAGTATAAGAAGACTTTGCAATATAATAAGTTATACTGTAAACTATATTCACACTTCTCGGCTTTTGGCTAATATACAGCCAGATCCATGACTAAAAACAAATGTATTGATTGAACTTTTTGATTTAAATTAAATACGAGTTATATCCAATAACTTTGTTGTACAAAACTTAACGAGAGTCAGAATGTTTTGAGAAACTCATGTCTCCTGTTAGGTTTTAAGTTGATACGAGAATTGAATCTAACAAAAACATCAATATCTGCATTATAGAATAAGTTCCTCTTGTATAGAAAGAGAGAATACCAGAAGTTTAAAATTTCAGTTCATAATCAGCGTCATTGTACTGCATCCAGTCTTCTGTGACTTGTTTGAATGCTTTTCATTATTCTCAGTACATTCATGTAAAAGTGTACCTAATCTCTACTTAAAGCATAAAAGTACATGTTTCCTACGTCACGAATTTTGTTTTAACATCAGATCTGACCGTAGTAATGTAAAAAAAAGTCTATTTTTTTGCGTTTGTTTAAGTAAACTTTCGGTAAAAATGTGATTTTTAAACGAAAACAAGAAGTTCTTACTTTTACATACTTCAATATATTTTTAATAAAGTTACGAGTACGAGTTCTTTTTGGAATGTAAGCAAAAGATATATACCGGATTGTTTTCTTTACAAAACCGGTTTAATTGAAGTTGCGAAAAAGAACATTCTCCAAGTAAAATAATAAATTTATACATATCGATGATCTCATCATGGAGCCATACATATTGAAGAATTTGCGAACTGATCTTTCCGAGATCGCTACAGCTTCACGTACTTATTTCGATAATCAATATTGATTTTACAATAATTAACAGAAGATTACAGAAGTTTCTGACGTCACAAGAAAGCAAATCAATGTTTTCTGTCTTCAGTTCTAAATATATATGGACTAATTTGAATATTTCAAATAATGAATTTCTTTTCTTTTCTAATTTCGATTAGATTAAACGAAGTCAGCAGTGTGATCGAGCTTCACTAATTTCCATATAAATGAACTATAATTATTCATAAAAGAAGTTGTCTCGGACTGGATTTTAATTGACAAGAGTGTTATTGCATAAAAATCAAAGTCCTTGTAAAACTTCAATAATTCGATCGAATCAAATAGTAAAACATATTTCTGCGCATAAAAATGTTAATCAAGTGAAATGTTTCAAGTTCACATTTTCATATTTTCTTTCCCTTCTATAAACACGGTACATATGACCTTTGATGTCAAACAGAAAAACAAATCTTTTACACAGACATGACTTCACGATCAGAAATGCAGTTTGTTAAATATTAAATAAAACGAGGAAAAGTCTTTGAATTGCTTTATTTGTTCGTGCTCATAATGACTTCTTCCAGGATTTCAATAATCAAAAAAAGTTAATATTTATCGGATGAAAATAATCAAACAATTCAATAATGACTTTCCCTGGGTAATACGGATTCAAAACAAGAATTTTTGAGAACGAATTTCGTTACTTTACTCGGCGGATATCTATCGAGATTTTTCTTTCGGATCTTAAATCAACATGACTATCGGACACTTGTAGTATTTCATTGAGAAAAATTTAATAAATATTCACATACTTAAGAGGTCTCCAGTATGACCTTTTCATACTCGTACTACGTCGAAATCTGTTCGGAGGTTTGCTATTCTGATCTGAACGGTAACAAAAACATGATTTGAAATGTTTATGTTTCGAACTGCTTGAAATGCGCTTAAGCGTTTTTGCACTAAACATCTTGATGGAGAAAAAAAATCTTATAAATTTATTTCGATCTGTTATTTTGAACAATCATTGTTGACTAGAAAAACAAAAAACGAATAAATGTGATGTCGTAGAAATTCTTTTAATAAAAAATTATAGAGAATTTCTTTTAGTTTGACGAAAAAGAAAGGGAGACAGAGCGAGAGAGAAAGAAAACAGCAACGGAGTATATAAGTTCAAGTGAATTTGATCAGTACACCTTATTTTAAGCAGTGAAACTCAAAAACATTACTTTGGTAATGTTACGCAAAATGAGTTTCATTACAGTAGCTATTCTGCTATTGTTAGCAGTAAAATTCGCAAGTAAATTTTTATACAAATGATTATCTCATTTTAATTGGAGCTTGTTTTCAGACAGTCAATCATGCTCGTACATGTGGGATCCGGTATTCGAATCCGATTCGGCCAATCTTCCAACAATGTGCCCGGGTATATCTGTGACAATCACATTTTCCTAATATGACATTTATTTCTCTTAAATAGTCAGTACTGCAAGTGGTTCAACATGTGTTTTCCCGTTTAATTACAACGGTGTAAGTAATACCATGACATATATCCTCATTAGAGCTGAAGAAACGAGAATGTTTTCGTTCATAAACTGATTAGAAGCCAAAGTTATTTCTTACTGTATGATAGGTGACCTATACGACTTGTACCATCAACGCTCCAAACAACGGTGACAGTCGACCTCAATGTGCTACTGCGGTCAATTCCAACAATACTGCAGTTACATGGTCCAAGTGTATTGGTAATACATTTAGCTTTGCAGAGAAAAACTTATTTTTATCTATACATATTATGTTTTCGTTTTAGTACCAAATGATGCTGTCGTCTATTACGCAACTGTTCGTAAAGCCGGTGGTTGGGGACAGAACGGTGGTAGTACACAGGGTGGTACTCTCATCTGGATCTATGGTAATCGATTTGCAGAAAACAGCTTCAGCTCAGTTCCATCAACAGCAAGCGCCAACACTGTTCAATTGGTAGATGGTTATGCAGTCTACGATTGTCAAATGCATAACGATAAAACAACAAGCACACAATTAACATGCTATGCACCAGTTTTACCAGAAAGTGTCTATCAAATTCGAGTTTATGTCAATGGAAATCTAATTCCACTCTACCAATACAATGATCCTAATCATGCTCTATTCGCATCAATGCCAAGCCAAACACCGACAATCACTGATATTGAACCTCAATCAGGTACACCACAATCGTTAGTTACACTATTTGGTTCATTCAAAACATCATGTTATTCACGTGATGTTGATGGTTGTGCTCAAGATAACAATGCACTCATCTCTCGGTAACAAATCTCTAGTTTTGAGTTGTAAATTTACTTGATGTGTCCATTTGCATAGTATCTACATCGGCGGTCATTTATGTAATGTTATCAATCAATCAAGTGGCCTAGTGTAAGTGTGCTATTAATGAGTTTGCTTTAGAAGTTCTTTCAAACGACTTTAGCTATGCCGATGTTAACAACACACAATTGACATGTAACTTCGAAGATTCAGAAGTTGGTATGTAATCCATATACTCGCTTATTCTGATAAATAATCACCGGAACTTCTATGAAAACAGGTGTTTTCAATGTCAGCATGCTTGTTACAAACGAATATGGTCGTTCATTAGTTAGTGCAAACTTATATCGTGTTTCAGCCGATGAAAAATTATACAATTTTCAAAGCTATGCTAGTACGTTTGCTTCTGTTTTATATTTACATCGATAATACATTTCCTCTTCAGTTGTTTCGAGTGTATCGCCAAGCTCAGGCAGCACAGCCGGTGGAACGACATTAACAATCACTGGCAATTTCTTTAGTAACAGTGCAAGCTATCCACTGACAGTAACTGTCGGCGGACAACCATGTACAATTGTAAGTTCAACACAAACAACTATCCAATGTCAAACATCAGCAATACCATCAGGCAGCCAAAGCCGATTCGAAGGTACGAATTACAGCGAATAGCGATGATTTTTCTCATTTTCTTCTCTATATTTGGCTAGGTGGTCGTGGTTTACAACTCTATGTTGCATCTGGCTCCAACACTCAAGTAAGAAGATGCAGTTTAAGTCATAGTTTACGAAAATATACATACATCTTAGGCAACACTATCAAGTTCAAGTCCACCCTCACCCAGTGGTAACGCAAAATGGACTGACGATGCTCTCTATGTATCAACATCAGCATCAGCAGAAACTGCTTGGCTCGTCGGCTACGTTCGTGTTACAAAGACTGCAACATATACATTTATCTTGGATACCAATGGTGCAGCTGCTTTGTTCCTTAGCACAGATGATGATCCAGCTAATAAAGCACGCATTGCCGATGCCACAAATACTCAATCATCTTCGATTCAACTGAACAACAATACCAAGTAAGATTTCTGTTTGGTATTCTTCTGAACAAAACAAGATAAACATTTTACTCTTTCAGCTATTATCTGTTTGCTGTCGGTTCTCGATCAAGTGGATATCTACGATTAGGAGTACAAGCACGAATGCATGAAACAAAACTAACAGCAGCCACATCAAGTTTAGTATTGAACGAAATCCAACGTATTACAGTCAATTCTAGTGCTACATCAGAACAACAGGTATGACAATAACATAGTTGACACTTTCATACAATACATATGTACTTTTTTGCCATCGTTTAGCGCATTATTTATACGAATTCTGCGACAAATGGTACTTCTGAAGTTCAATCAGTTCAAGTTGATTCTTCAACATTCCAAATCGGTTTCCGTGGTGTCTATACAGGTAGACATTGATCTCTGAATTTGTTATGTTCATTTGATATCCATTTCTTTTAGCCATTCAAACTGGTCGACCAACAGCTACAACTATTCAAGCAGCACTCAATGATTTACCAACAATCTATCCATTGACAGTTACAGTTACAGCTACAAGTACACTCTATATAGTTACATTCCCAGCTGTGATGGGTAATGTTCCTCTTCTGACATGCATCTCATCGTCGGTCAATACACCAAATGTCACTGAAACAGTTCAAGGTGTTGATTCTGGTGCACAAATTGCTTTTGCATTAGACGATCAACTCACCGATTACATCGATTATACGAATGCAAATCTTAGTCAATCAACTGTGAAACAAGCATTCAATAGCTTGTTCAGTATTCAATGTCCACCATCGATAAGCAGTGCTGCAAATTCACCATCGGTGCTCTACTTAAACGATTTCGAATCCAACTGTGTCTATGACGAAACACCCATCGCAACAAATGCATTCTGTGGACAATGTTCACAGAATGGCAATACACTATTGAGCGGAAATAGTTTATCTGGAAACTACCTATGCTTTGCATACCGGCTACTCAACAAATATGTTATGTCCATTGGTGTCGGTCTTCAAGTCAACGGTGATGCAACAACAATAGTATGGGCATCGATACCATTCTCACCCATCGCTGATAAATCCTGGCACTACACGTGTGTTGATGTCGGTGGACAACTCGTTTCACAAGGATCAATCGACTCATCAGCATCATATGTTATCGTATACGCGTGGTTGGACAAAAATATCAGAAAAGGAATCTTTCTTGATGTTGTCTCACTTCGAACAGCACTACCTGCTGGCTATGAAGCATCAAGCGCATACCCTATTGATCAATCAGCGAATTCAACATGCGTTTTTCCATTCACATATAATGGACAACAATATTCAGCATGCACATTGAACAATAATAACATTCCAGTTTGTGCTGATAGCAACAACGTTGTTTACACATGTTCAAGTTCATCAATTGAAGGTGCTCGTCGATTTTATCCAAAGCATCAAATTGTCTATAACACCTTACAAGTGACATTTACACCGGGTAGCTCACAAATTACAGCAAACTTTCGATATACTAACTGTGAAAAGCCAAATTTACTCGTATCATGGCCATCATCGGTATGTTTAGATTTTGTTCTTTTTCAGAAATATCTCTAAGTCATCTGCTATAGAGCGCAACAATAACTCGTACCGTTACAGCATCGCCAGCTGCAAATGGTACATTCGATCTGGTTTTCAACGGACAAACCTATGCATCAATACCAGTCGATATTTTACCATCAGATCTAGCCAATCGTTTACAATCATCATCCGATTTCGGATTCTTGAATATTGAACGTATCAACGATTGTACAGGTTATTCATATTTGATTGAATGGATTGCCAATGGTGGACAAAAAACATCCATTACCGTTTCCAATGCCGGTAGTGTCACACCAAGTGGTACAACAGTAACAGCAACCGGTGTACAATCTGGTGGTGTTCTTTTCAAACCATTAACAGGAGATCTAACAAGAACTTATCATACTGCTCCTCAAGTAGAGTAGAACTATCTCCATGCAATATTCTATTGACGTTTATTTCATTTTTAGGTCGTAGTTTCCGTCGGTGGTTCGATTTCAGATTGTGATGGTGCAACTACATGTGATTACCAATGGACATCAGGTCAAACTCCAACAGTAACATCAATCGTACAAAGTGGTATGACAGTAACAATCACAGGTACCGGATTCAGTACAACAGCAAGTGACAATAAAGTTATCATTGGTACATCGGGCTCATGCACAGTAACAGCAGCCTCATCAACATCTCTTACCTGTACGATCGCCGCTGCTCCTGCAGGCACATACGGCATTCAAGTCAACGTTGCTGGCAAAGGTTTAGCAACAGGCACATCAAGTTTTACAGTTACTGTTTCACTCCAAGTCACATCGATCACACCAGTTCAAGGAGGCGCAGGTGAGTACATATTTTCGCAGAGCATTTCAGGAAATCTGTGAATTTCGAACGACATTGTAGGTGGTGGTTATTCAATTAACATTACTGGAACAGGCTTTTCATCGACTTCGTCAGTAACCATTGGTGGAAATGAATGCACAAACCCAACAGTGTCAGGCTTCGCGTTGATAACATGTACTGTTCCACCAACAGCTTCTGTCAGCAATGCACAAGTACCGGTTGTCGTTACATCTGGCTCATCATCGTCAACGTCACCTACTCAATTTGCTTACGATGTTACTAACACACCTTCAATTACATTATCAAGTCCCAGTGTTGTTACCGTCGCCGGTGGTCAATTGACAATTACCGGTACAAACTTTGGTACTAGCTCAGTAGCAGTCTACATCGATACAACAAAGGCAACTATTCGATCATTAACATCAAGTCAAATCATTGCTGACTTACCCTCATTAGCAGCGGGTATCTATTCAGTTCGAGTTTCAACTGCAAATGGATATGCACGTCCAGCCGTTCAAATCGAATATCGTTTCTATGTTCAAACTATATCACCGCAAGTCGGCTCATTATATGGTGGCAGCGATGTCTATGTACAAGGTCAAGGCTTTGATAATTCAACAACAGTTGCATTCACTGATGGTACTAACAACGTTGCATGTGACATCAAATCAGTTCAAGCAGATCAAATCCACTGTCAAACAGAAGCTGCTGCACCTCGTGTAGTAATCTCAGCCGATGGTGTTGATCCAACATATGGTGCTGGATTTGCATGGTCACCACAATACGCAACTGTTCAACAAGGTGCTGTCGTCGAATGGCAATGGGGCTCATCGACACTTCTAGCATCGTTAGCCTACAAAGTCGTAGAAGTTTCGAATGGTTATTCAACAACTCCATTGGGAGGCGGTTTTGATTCTGGCAACACATCAGCATCAGGTGCGAAATGTGCACAAATGAATCGCATAAACCGAATGTTTTTCTATTTTAGGATCATACTCATATCAATTTCAAACCGTTGGCACATACTATTATTACACTCCACCTGTCGACCAGGCTGGTTCAGCTTCTATGCGTGGTGTTATCAATGTTGTTGCTGCTCAACCACGAACATTAACCGTCAAAGTATCATCTAATTCGTTTACTGGTAAGTACTAATCTTCCTCGTAAATTGAATATCATTTAGTGATCGTTTTCTTCGCTAGCTCAATCATGTGCGTTCCCATTCACGTTCAATTCAGTTTCCTATACAGCATGCACCTCAGCCAATGACACTCAATCATGGTGTTCACCAACGTCAACATATACCGGTCAACGTCTCTATTGTACACCAACAGGTATGCGTTCATTCATTTCATTGAGAAATATTCTTTCTAACAATAAATTTTAGCTTCGGTACCTGCATCATCCTGCGGTGCAAATTCATTGATCAATCCAACATCGTGTTCACAAACAGTTCCATCGAATAATTTAGACTTTTTGTTCACACCATGTACCGTAGGTACTGTTACATCGATTTCACCTGTACAAGGTCCAGCAGGAACATCAATCACAATTACTGGAACAGGTTTCAGCTCAACAGCATGTGCTAACACAGTTCTCATTGGATCATCCTATGAATGTCCAATAACAAGTGCATCGAGTACACAACTTGTCTGTCAAATTGGTTCGAACTCACTATTGAATGCTAAATCAGTTCAAAGCTTCAATGTTGCAAGAGGTCGCCAAGGATTCTTGAGCAACAATGGTCTCTTAAAATTTCAATTCCAAGCAAAAGTCACCAACGTATCACCAGTACAAGGTGAGTTTCTTTTATTTCTAAAGATAGAACTAAAACTTTATCATGAACTAGGTTCAACTGCTGGAGGTACTCTTGTAACAATCACTGGTGATGGTTTCACACCTGCTGATACTCGCGTCGTTGTCGGAAGTATCGAATATACATCAACAGCAACAATTACATACTCACAAATCCAATTCGTCACTGATGTACCACCCTCAGCTTATATCAACCAAAACATTCCTATTCAAATCTTAGTTGGATTAAATCAAGCTGTATGTGCATCAGGTTCGTGTACATACAAATGGGCACAAAGTGCAACACCATCTCTTACATCGGTCAATCCAACATCAATCACTGGTCCGCAAGCGTTAACTTTGAGCGGTCAAAACTTTGCGGCTGCAGGTGCAATCTCAGCAGCAAATGTTAATGTTACTGTCAATGGTATAGCATGTACCGTAACAGCAGCTACCAATTCAACAATCACATGTAACATTGGTAGTGTACCAGCTGGTAACTTTCCAATCGTTGTTTCAATTGATGGTATGCATCTCATATTCGTAATAGTAGCCGACTAAGAAAGTAACATGTTGCTCATTTCTTTTTCAGGCGTCGGAAATGTAGTTTCATCAGCATCACTCACATCGACTGCAGCTATTTCGAGTGTTTCACCATCATCCGGCAGTCAATACGGTGGTGTTCTTGTTCAAATCAATGGAAATGGATTCTCTGGCTCAGCTAATAATACTCAAGTAACTATTGGTTCAAGTGCATGTACAATCGTTCAAATTACATCAGGCCAAATCCAATGCATAGCTCCAGCTCAAGGCTCAAGTCCATCAGTAGCAACCATTACTATCGTTTCCAACGGTGTTAACTTCCCAACATCAAGTTCGTTCACTTACAGTGCAGCTGCTACACCAACAATTTCATCTATCAATCCAACATCAGGCTCTGCTGGCCAAACATTGACAATCACTGGTTCAAATTTTGCCAGTGGCCAAACAACCATCACAATTGGTGGAACACCATGTGCGATTACTAGCATTTCATCCACATCCATCGTCTGCACAGTTGGTTCAAGTCCAGCTGGAAATCAACCAGTCATCGCTTCGATCGTAACATCCGGTCGATCGGCTTCATCGACTCAATTTCAATACGCTTTACAAGTCAGCACTGCGTCACCCTCACGAGGTGGTTTCGGTGGTGGTCAAGCAGTAACTGTAAACGGTGATGGATTCAATGGTTCAAGTATCACTGTCACAATCTGTAATACTCCTTGCCAATCGGTATCCGTTCTATCAAATACCCAATTGACCTGTGTCACACCAGCAGCAACATATCAATCTTCTGATAAATCATGTAATTTAGCAGTTACAGTTGGCGGCTTAACACAAACTGTATCGTATGTTTATCAATCAAGTTTAACGGCTACGGTTTCCGCTGTTAGCCCGAAACGAGGTGGAACTGGTGGTGGTACAACACTAACAATTACTGGTACAAACTTTCCGTAAGATTCCATTCATTGCTTTTTGCAGGAAAAAGAAAATTTTCATTTATCTGTTCTAGAACATCAGTTAGTGGAGTTACAGTCAGCATTGCTGGTTCACCATGCTCTGTTCAAACAGCTTCAGCAACATCAATTACCTGTTTGACAGGTAGTTACGCTCAAACAACAGTTCAGGCGCCAGTCATCGTCAATGTTGTCAATGGTGGTAACGCCATCGGATCAGAACAATTCCAGTATATTGATCTTTGGTCGAGCCCATGGACTTGGGGAGGAGATTCACCGCCGGAAGAAGGTACCATTGTCTCGATCGATAGTGGCAAAACAGTTTATTTCGATACGACAACACCTATCCTCAAAGCTCTCATTGTCGATAACGCATCGTTGATTTTTGATGATAATCAAGATGTTGCATTGAATGCTGAATACATTTTAATTGTCAATGGTGGTCGCTTACAAGTTGGCACAGAATCAGCTCCATTCCAACACAAAGCCGTTATTACTATGCACGGTCAATTACGATCAATTGAATTACCAATTTGTAAGGAAGATATGTTTTCTTGTTGAACAAATCTATCGATTCTTTTGTGTTGTAGTTGGAGCGAAAGTGTTAGGTTTACGCGAAGGTACTATCGACATGCACGGTGCAAACATGGTTCAGACATGGACACGCTTAGCATCTACAGCTGCTGCTGGTGCTTCTCAAATCACTCTTCAACAATCTGTCAACTGGCCAGTAGGTAGTCAAATCGTTATTGCCACAACTGGTGATCATCTCAGTCAAGGAGAAACTGAAACACGTACCATTACCGCTGTATCATCAAACGGACTTACTTTAACATTGAACACACCATTAACATATAACCATTTGGGTGTAACAAAGAGTGTCGGTTCTACGTCTGTTGAAGCGCGCGCTGAAGTCGGTCTTCTATCACACAATGTCGTCTTTCAAGGTTTGTTGCATAAATATCCATTCTAAGAACTCAGCTCTACACTTATGTCCTTTTGTATGTATTTAGGATCAGTCACAGAAACATGGAATGTAACAATTGAAGCTTGTCCAACAGGCTTTGATCCAGGTAGATCTTTTGCTTGATTCTATAATAAAATTCTCATACGAACAACATAGGTGAGTTCGCTGTTCAAACATGCTTTCTCGGTCGATATGGACAAGAAATCGGTTCCGATCAATTCGGTGCAACACTCATGGTTAGTGCTAGCGATGCCAGTACTGACGGTGTTCAAAAAGTCATCGTTCGTTTATCAAACATTGAAGTAAGCTCTATTCTTACTTAGATCTGTTGATCATGCATGATCGTTATCACTTGATCAGGTATTTAATGCTGGTCAAGCTTTCCGACTTGGTCGCTATCCAATTCACTTCCACATGAATGGAAATATGAGTCAATCGTACATCAAATCATCGTCTATTCATCAAACATTCAACCGAGCTGTCAATGTTCACGCTACCAACTATTTAACTGTTGAAAACAACGTTATCTATAATATCATGTAAGTGAAACATTACTAGCGAATACCAATATTTACAATTCTCTACTATCTGCTAAGGGGTGGTGCTATATTCTTGGAAGATGGTGTTGAAACTGGCAATGCTCTACGTGGTAATTTAGCCGTCTTCGTTCGCACCAGCTCAAGTTTACTCAACGAAGATGTTACACCAGCTGCTTTCTGGGTATGGTTCTTCTCTTTAATGAACCTTTCATTAGTATATTATCTGTCGGTTTAGGTCACCAATCCAAACAATATCGTAGAACATAATGCTGTTGCCGGTGGTACACACTTTGGTTATTGGTACCGAATGCTTCGTACACCCGATGGTCCATCATTTGCCATGTATCCGAACACCTGCCCATACCGTCAACAATTCGGTCGTTTCTTCAACAACAGTGTCCACAGTGTCGGTCGTTTTGGTGTTTGGATCTTTCCTGAATACTCACCGACTGTTGCTGGCGATTGTGGCAATGATGCACCATATCAAGCCGTATTCGATGGATTAGTTTCATGGAAGAACAATCGTGGTTTTGAATGGGTCATGTCCAGCACTATTCAAATTCGCAATGCTGTTGTATTCGACAATGCTGATACTGGTCTTCGATGTGTCACCGCCATTAATAACCAAGCAACAAATCTTCCAAATCTTCGTGCTACATTCTACAATGAAAATGCTGGTTCATCAGTTATCAACTCAATCGTCATCGGTGATTCACAAGTATCATCTACTCCAGTTGTACCAGGTGAAGGCGGTCTTGTTGGTAAGTGGCGTGTTGAAATTCTCGATCGAGATGATCATTCCATTCTATCCGTTCTCTAGTCATGTGGGACCGTGGTCTACGTGTACGAAACGTTTCATTCATTAACTTTCCAAGTGCAAGCACACAAGCTATATTTGGTCCAATCATCACTGGTCGTTGTGTAGTTTATTGTGGAGGTATGATAAGAATGAAAGAATACGATTAAATAGTACTTCGTTCTATCATTAGGTTGGTTAACAAAATTCTCTCAATTGAAATTTACAAACGTCTTGAATCGTGGTAACTTCCGTTGGCCATATGATGGTCTCTATCAAGACGAAGATGGTTCATTGGCTAATGTTGTTGGCGGTGTGATTATTTCACCTGACGGTCTCTGGAATACATCAACGGCATGCACAAAGACACCCAACTTTCTCAATGCTGTCACATGTCCATCATCGTTGGGTACCTGGATTCGATTTGCTTTCAATAATGCTAATCTCGGTAAGAATGCCGAAGTCTTGAATGTTTACGATGATGCCAACCATAACACTGTCGTTCTCAATCTTAAAAAACGATTAACACATACAAACGGTTATATGATGAATCTGTTAGCTAAAAAGACCTATCTATTTCAATTCGAAAATGCTAATGTAAGTTAGAATTTGCTCGATAACATTCTAAACATGTGTACGCTATTCATTTTTACTCGTAGAGCACAGTCAATTTATCGTATACTGGTGTTGCTTACAGTTTAGCACCTGGTGATTATCTTATCATTCGTCATCAAGTCTCCTATATACCCGATCAAGTTTCCATCGTATCAAGTACGCTGGTCAAAGGATCACTCACACCACTCACATCTGCAAATAACAATGGGGATTGGTATTACGATAACACTACAAACGAATTTTCATACATCGGTAATCTAGTGTTTTTTTTCTTCATTGAAATGAATTGCAAATCGATTTTGTTTGTGGCAATTTAGTTAAAAATCCATCGACCAGTTCTGCACCAGCTGATGTGTCTATCTCATTGAACGTTGTTAAATGCCGATATCCAAATTGTGAATATCCAGCTCAACCAGGTCTCGAATTGCCAGCTGTCGCTCGACCAGCAAATGCTCTGTATTGGTCAAATGATTCCGACTGGGCTTTTGCATCAGCAGGCTATGGCGGATATGGTGAGATAGTTTTTCGATCGCTTCCAAAGACCAAGTAATTGTCATCGTGTACTATTTTGTAGGAAGCGTCAAACCAGGCAATGGTACAGACATCTACATTCCTCGTGGCGTATGGCTTGTTGCTAACTATCCATTACCTCGTGTTCGATCGTTACGCATCGATGGTGTTCTTGAATTCGAACAAGTAAAAATATATGAGATTTCCTTTCCTTTTGAGCCTATTTTCTTTTCAAGAGTATCAATAACGTTCTCTATGTTGACAGTATTGTCATCAATGGTGGTCAATTGATTGTTGGTATGTCTATTGATGCAATTAGTATGTCCTTTTTCTTTAATTCGAATTTTTATAGGTTGGCCAAATAATCCACTTACATCCAATGTTGATATCATCATAACCGGTTCATCATCTGTCAACGTTTTATTACCAAATAATGCTGGATCACTTGGACCTCGAGTCATCGGCGTTTTAGGTGGTCTTGATCTTCATGGAATTTCACGAAATGTTTCATGGACGCGTCTTGCAACGACAGCATCTGCCGGTCAAAATTCGATTACCTTAAGCGAACCAGTCGACTGGGTTGCTGGAGACGAAATTCTTCTCACAACAACTGACACACGAATTGAACATACAGAACGATTAACAATCGCCAGCGTCAGTGGAAGTGGTACAGTAGTCACATTGAAAACTGCTCTTGCTTACACGCACATCGTTATTAACAATGCATTTGCCAACGGTCAAACCTATCATGTTGCCGGTGCTGTTGGTCTCTTGACAAGAAATGTCCGAGTTATTAATCAAAGTCCAGCTTCCGAAAAGATGGGTTTCCGTGTGCTTGTCACAGACTATGCAACAGATGTCGTCGACACTGTTACAAATGATAATATCTATACATACTACAAAGGTTATGCACGATTGTCGAATACACAATTCATTGGCTTCGGTCAATTTGTCGATGCTCCCAACGAAGATAAACGCGAAGCTATTCACCTATACAATCTCGGTGATTGGAATGCGTCACGACCGACTTATATCGACTCATGCTCGTTCGATACTGGCTACTATTCAGCGTAAGTATTGCTTTTTAGATGCTTAATGTCGATTCTATTCATTATTTCTGTGTGTCTATAGAATTGGTCTATGGGATTCGAATGGTATTCCTGTGACAAACAACGTTGTCTATCGAACATATGAATCAGCTATTGTTGCTACCGGCAAGAACAACATTATTCAGAAAAATCTTGTAATAAGTAACTATTGGTCTGGTGAAGCACAACCGGAATACGCTGCATTCAATATCAACAACGATGGTGCTATAATGTCACGAGATGCAGTCAGTGTTGTCATGAAGGTAGATTGATTTAGTAGAACGAATTTCAAGAGTTTACTCATCAAATTTCTCTTAGGATAACTTGGTCGTTGGTGCACAACGTCAAGCATACCGTATTCAAGGAAACGCATGTCCAGGTGTCGTTTTACCAACTGACATTGTCAACGATTACGATAACAATGAAGCTCATTCAGTTATGGCTGGTGTCAACATGTGGCCACACGATAAAGGCTTCGATTACGATACCGGTAAGTGATTCGAAGAAAGATCATACTTATCACAATGAATCCTCCTTTTAGATTGCGTTTTAATCAAGGGCTTCAGGTAAATTTCTCACTGTTTTGTTTTGCATCTAGATATCTTTGATTGACATGATCGTATTCTTGAATAGCACCTACAAAGCATGGTACTACGGTTTATACATCAACACTGAGCACAACATCATCGTCGACTCGTGCAAAGTAGCTGACAGTAGTGTCGGTATTTTTACCTTCGTTCTTGGTCCACCAGGTAAATATCTTCAGCACGACACTGAAATCAATCCTATGATGATTAACCATCAATCTTTGTCTTTTAGCGACGTCACATGAATTTGGTAACAACTCAATCACCATTCGTAATTCAGTAGTTATCGGTGCTATCACACAAAACGATTGTAACGATACTCCAGACCCAAATACATTGAGTGCTACTAACAGTTTAAAAGCAGTTCCTCGTGTATCAGCATCATCAACAGATGATGGAAATCCAGGCGGACGTACAGGTATCTCGTTCCCATACTTTTCACGTGACAATATGATTCCACGCCATCCGTATACAAGTATCGGTGCTTATCCATGCAGTAAGTTGGTTCGTTAAAGTCTTCCCATCAATCACATCACTCTCATTCCTAGTTGACGGTATCATGACTATTACTAATGTTACATTTGCATTCTTCAATGATGTTTGCTCACGTCGTGATATTGCTATTCAAGTTTCACAAAATAATGATGATGGTCAACATCCAGTTACAGTAAACAAAGCCTCCGTATACAATACAGCAACATCCAATTTAGTATTCAACGGTCGACCGAATCTTGATGTTGTCGATCCAAGTGACTGTGTTGGTAAGAATTAATATGAATACGATTCTTGAACTTGTTACTAATCGATTTTTGTTTACATTTAATTAATTTTAGATATGGATTGCGACGGTCTGAAGAAAAGTTTACTCATCGATACAGATGGTACATTCTTTGGTCAACCATCAACTGCCTTCTCGCAAGCCGAATATCTATGGGGTAACTTGATAGAGATCATCGAGTTGTACATATTCATATCTTTTACCTAACTCTTCTTTTCAGGCAATCAAGCTCACGGCGTTGGTGATTTCCGTATTCCAAAGGTTGTATTGGCTAATCAAACTGGACAAATGATTAACATCAATGCTCAATACCCAAATCGTGGTATTGGTCATTCATCAGCATGTACTTATCAAGCATCCTACCAAATGTACTTGTGTCCAAACGTAGTCGATTATCGTATGTTAATTATTGAAAGTATGGATGCAGATACTGAAACACGACGACTCTCGCCAGTTGCTGTTCTTTCTGATACCGGTTATATTGATCTTATCAACGGCCCACAAGATCACGGTTGGTGTAATGGTTATACATGTCAAAAACGTGTGTCAACATTTATGGCATTAGTTGAAGGAGGACACCATTATGATATCTATCTATCAAGTACAACACCCGATCACATGCGCTTCCGTTTACTCAATGCTGATTCAACGATCGCCACTTCATTAAGTCTCTATTACACTTCATTACAACAAATCGATGTTTACGCTAATGATGTTTATGTTTCGCCAACAAATCGAGACAATTCTTACTCATACCTGATGCTCAAGGATCAACCATCGGGTGTCACCTTAGCGTCGGCGGCCGGCACAAATTACTTCAACAGGTAAAAGCATTACACTTGTTTTTTTGTTGATGTCTAAATGCTAATATTTGTCTTCGGTTTATTTAGAACAACACAGCTAGCATCATTCTTAATCAATGGTGCTACAGTCATCGATTTGAAGATTTCGGAACTCATCGTTCTTACCTTCGGTTTACCAGCTACTACACCATCAGCATTCTTTACAACAAATCTAGTTAGCAATTTGGCTGCTTTACTCGGTGTTTCTGCTGATAAGATTCGACGTGTCAACATCATATCGGCTAATAACGATACGTAAGTATTTGTAAAATCTGTGTTCAAAATTGCAAACGAATTCTTCTATCTACATTTGCAGCCGTGTTCGTCGTCAAGCTGTTAATGTTCAAACTATCACTTTACGTGTTGAACTTCGTAATGATCCACCACAAGTTTTATCTGTCGGTAATCAAACATCGTCTGATGAAATTGCCAATATTACATCAGCTATCATCAATGGATTTCAATCAAACGAAACACAACAAGCATGGGCAAATAATCCTTCAACCGGTGGCGCATATCCTCTGAGTCTCAGCGTTCAAGAACCACAAAGTCAAAATACAGTCGCATTGTCAGTCATCAGCCAATTGAAATTAATAACTTCGCCATCATCATGTCGTTTACAATCACCATGTGATGTTCAGCCAAAACTTGTTGCTTATGATGCATCAGGCAAAGTCATCGACAAACTAGGCTCAATCGAACAACCATGGCAAGTAATTGCTGTTGTTGTCGGTCAACCAGTTATCAATCTCATTGGTCCAATTGCTAATTATGTCAATGGACAAGCAAATTACACAAACTTTGGTATAACAGCTACTGGTTCATACCGTATTGAATTTCGATTCCTTACACCAAATGGTGTTAGCAAGTAAGCATTTATTCTTCAGTGCCAATTAGTTGAAAACTGCATCTACTCTTTCTTTTAGTGCGTTTGTCGCAAGTGCTAACTTAGTCGTTAGCTCATCGTCAGTATCAGTTTCTGATCCTGTTCTAGCTGCCAGACAATCAGACAAGCTTGATATCGTTAGTGTCAACCAAACATTCAATCTTTCAGTTATCATCGTTGATAAAATCTCCAAAGCTAAAATCGGAAACATTCAATGGAGCAGTTTCACATGGTCAGCCGTTGCTTCACTTTACACTTCCCTACAATATAAGAGAAATGGTTCCTTACTTCAATCACCATCATCAGCAATTGTCGTTGATACAACAGCTGGTACAATAACAGCAACAAATCTCGCAATCGACGCTGTTGGTATGTATATCGTTAAAGTTGAACTGCGATCATCCAACAATCTGTATGTTATCCCAATGACATCGAACGGTATTCTCGTGAAGGAAGCATCAAGTAAGTGATTGACTGTGTTTGATTTTACGTATTCAAACTAAATGTTTCGGTTTTGATAGCTGTCATCCAAGTATATACTGGTTATCCACCATCAAATATTACATTCAAAGGTGATTATGATGAACTGGTGAACACTGGTCGTGATGAAATTACACGTGCATCAATTTACAATCTTCTTAAATACAAACACGGAATTCCAGTTGTCAGTGATATCGTCTTGAAGAAAGGTATGTTACTGAAGTTCATTTTCTTGACGGCATTCTTGATTATGTTTCTATTTGATAGGTAGCGTCATTGCTGGTTTCGAAGTTGCCGTGGATAATATCGACGATGCCGCTAAGACTCAATCTGCTGTACAAAGTTTGACAAGCGATGATACTGGAGCTATCGACGGCCTTACAGTTCAATTAGTAAACATTGAAGGTAAAACAACAGTGGCCTCATCCGAGGAATCCCCCGATAACAGCAAAGTTGGAATGATCGTCGGTATTGTTATTGGTGTTCTTGGTGCAATTGCAGTTGCCGCTGGCTCAGCATTTGGTATTCATAAATATCAAGCGAAAAAGAAAGGTCAACGTCTTATCAATGGAAACGATGAAGAAGCTTCCTTATCCAATAATCAATCAACACCAAATAATGCTAACGCAGCACAAGCGAATAACAATGGTTCAAATGTAACACGTCGCCCATCAGTGACACCACCTGGTGTTTCACAATCGCTCATTAATGTTGGTCAACAATCGTCGGCTAGTGGTAACCGAGCTGGATCCGCTGGTATCAGCGTTACCGGAATCGAACTCGAAACTAAACCATTCGCTTCAATGACACCTGTTCGAATTCAATAATCGCATCAAACTCAACAAATAATCGTTTCAAAACCTAAACATTTCATTAGTTCACACATATCTTCTCTTCCTATTTAGCTATATCTCTAGTTCTTCCATATCAATTTTCTTCATTCATTTCTTCTCTACTTAGTTTCCAAATAAATACACAATCATGGATTAAAAGCATAGATTTTATTACGATTGACAGTACATTATGTACAGCATCATTTGGTTATTGTTCGTCGAATACAACTCATGAATTTCTTCCAATATCCTTGTTTTTTCATTGGAAATTGAAGCAGATATGAAGAAGCGTTCTTCTCATCTACTGCACTTGTACTCTGCTGTTGATGGATACTCATGGAATTGACATAAGGAGTCGATAGCTCATCGTTTTCATTAATGAGAGTATCCCTAATCTTTATTTCTCCTTCTGCACTGCGTGGCCCTTCGATAACTTTGAACGACGAAATATTATCTGCAAGAGTATGAGTAGCCAGCGGAATGTTCGGCGAAGTAGGGATTTGGTAATTCGAAGAATTATACGAATAAAATCCATTGATACTTTCGTTCACTGACTGTTGTTTACTTAGTCTTGGATCAATGCTACTCGATTTGAGTAGATCATTTTTTGTCAGTTTTAACGATCTCATCGATAGAGGAGAACTTTTGTATGACACGTCTTCGTCATACGGAATGTTTCTTTTCGATACAGACCGTGCAGACGGATCAACATAGCCAGCCTGAAAAGTTGACACAGACATATACATAATATTATCCTGGAATATGTCGTATAATAAACACGACAGTTTGCTCACATTTATTTGGTTAAGATTTTGTTCGTCATCCTTCTGTAGAGTATCTGAAGTATTTCTTGCGTCTTTAACATTGATTCCCGATTGAAGCATTTCTCGAGAACGATTAATGCTCACAAATTTGCTCAAAGTTGGTGATAAATTTGAAGTTTCTGGAGGTATTATGTTTAACGCTACCTTTCATGAAGTTCGATAGCCAAAATTTTGGTCTAACAAACCTGCTTTACTGTTCTTGTACGGACTAGACTGTTTCTCATTCAGATTGGAAGATGTACGACGTAAAATACTATGATCCGACAATGCCGAAGCTGGTAAATCTTCAACACGAGGCGACAAGCGTTCACTACTGGTCGATCCCATCAAACGACCTATTACAAAATGAATGAGATCAAAATTTATAACACAACTTAGAGATTTTAATTCATGTTACATACCATAGATGGAGTTAAGTTGTATAGATCGTTGTGGTGATATAGTATAGCTATCACTCATACTGTCGGGCTCGTGTACAGAGATTGAATTCGCTGATGGTTGTTGAGTTTTTCTTTTGTTTGCTGCACCAATAAAGATTGTCTACTATATTCTACTGGCAAGAAAAACACTACTTCTAGATGCAGTGATGTTAAGTCTCGCTGGTCGTGATGGTGAGGATCGATTTTTGAATGATTTCGTCAGTTTTTGATACTTATTATCAATAGGAGAGACTTCGTCATTCACGAAACTTTTTTGAGATCGTTGTTTTTTCTTTTTATTCGATAACTGTCTCGATCGGCTTGCTGATTTCTGTTTACTACCATGATATCCTAGCTTTCGGCGAACTTTTTCATCTTTAATTCCAAATACCAAACCGAAAACATTGTCACTTTCGCCTGATTGTTCTATTTGTTTTAAAACTGACCATGGAATAGACATTGGATTATCGATAGTATGACTTGAGTTCATACATGGAGATGCATCGGGTATGCTCGACTGGTGACACTAAAATTTCGTGGAATCAATCTGTCAGCAGAAACTGCATGTGTAACGGACAGTGCTAACCTACTTGAGGATTGCAACGTTGGCTGACACAATTCATACACGCCTGAAGGGTTCTTTCCAAGCGATCCAATAGTTGTGAGAAGATAACATTTGGTGATGGATCAGAGCATCTTTCTGTTTGTTGTTGTTGTTGTTCACTCAAACAACGAATAAGTAATGCAAGTTCTCGAAGAATCAATGAGATGTCAAAAGTGGCGATGGTTTCAGGACTACGATCGATCTCTGCAAGCAACATAAGACGAAGTTGATAGATACGTTCGGCGATGTCTTTGATTTTCTTCAATTGTAGATACGATTGAAATTGCTCATACGATATCATTGATGAAAGATAAACTAAAAATTCATCGAGAAAACTAACAAGTTTTTCTAAAAGAAGCGCAACGCCATGCTGTTCTTCCAAGGCATATTCGTCGTTCCTCATTCCTCTAATCAGTACAACATATTGCTCGAGAAAATCATATCAGAAAATACACACGAGTCATCATCTGTGTAATTCGAACCAGTTAATAATGAGCCAAATGCGGTATTGTAAGGATATTCAGGAAAACAATCGTAGTGCCTATTGACTTTTATCTGATCAAGGCGAAGTTGATGTTGCCATGGATTGACATCTTGTGAGGTTTGATTCGAGCAACTAAACGATGAATGTTTTGAAAACATGCTGTTCAATTATCAAGTTTTCAGATTTCTCTCTGTAATAATCATGAGAATTGTGAAAAAAAAACGAACTAAAAGATGCAGATGAAAACCATAGTTACACCTAAACGATAAGTATTTTCTTCTTATTTATCTAAGTTTCATTGAATCAGCTGTACAAGTAGATCTCTGTCAAACCTCAGTTTTACTTAGATCAATAAAGCAGTAGGAAACAAAGCGCATATGCTTCTACAGGCAACAAATGAATGATGCCCATTATCAAAACTATATTCAAACTGAATGAGAACTAACAAAAAAAGTCACAAAGATTGGTTTCTAATATCGAAAGTCGGATGATCATTTAAGTTAATAGAACACTATTCGATTTATCTAAGATGATGTTCATTGGGAACATCATGCATAGATACATTAAAGAAATCTTTGCTCTTATATGATTGCTGCTCTTTGTTTTTAACATAAATGTTTGTTGCAGACGTCAGCACATTTAACAGTTCTGGAACTCAAACTGTCAAACAGTCATGCATTATTTTTACTGATTACATTGTTGACGACATAACTTTGCGATCGATAGTGAGCTATTTTTACCCATCAACGTCGCAGTCTTTTGTTCGTGACTGAAATCTAACGGTAAAATACTTAATTATAGATTTATTCTATTGAACAGCAACAATCATTCTCTATCAACGCATTTTCATTTAGTTTTCTATTACAGTGAGTTAACTGCTTCTCAAATGAACGAGAAAACAATGAAGTGACACTCAATGCTCTTTTTCAGGCATGACGTATTCATATTGAATTACGAGAAGAGATTTAATTGGCTTCTTGAGGTACTTTGATAGTTAATGCTAGAACCTTCAACATGGACAGCATATTGAAAGAATAAGAACATTCGATAAGTTCACGATCTGAACCTATCGTCTGCATATATATATATATATATATATATAAGTATCGTTTTTGTATTTATATAGTCAAACGATTTTTCGAGCACTAGTCAGAACAAGATCATGCATATGTGTGCAAAACAATTGTGGAAGTCTTGGTGCACATTACAATATTTTGCTTTTAACTACTATGCATACTTGGAGAAGAAGAATCTTTGATTAGGCCGTTTTTCTTTCGTACAGAACTTTTCTCTCACCTTTCATACTCTCAGAAAGACCTGAAAATCTGCCTGTAGTATTTTTTTTATTAAGACGCACTAGTGTGACACGAGCTGGAAAAAGCGTTTAATTGTGGTATGCTATTCCGTACTTTTCATCTCGGAAGTCGCGTAGAGGTGATCCATCCACGACAACACGAAGATACAGATGTTTCCATGATAAAATCTGCTATTTGTTCCTTTGATGTTGGCTAAAGGATGTATCTTAAAGGGAAAAGGCATAGTGTAACCCACAGACTTGAATATTTATTCAAATAACAGATAATTTTCTGCTTAGTTGTGTTTTATCATTCAGAAGTCAAGAGTCTCTCCAACGATAGATTACAAGTAAATAGATTGAATATTCTCCCCGATTTCTATTATTCTATCTTCTATATAATACAAATTGTTTTTTTGTAATAATTGGTCTTTGTTAGAAAACATGATGACATGAATGTACTGACATACTGTAATTTTCTAGCATAGCCATCCAAGTCAAAATATTCCGTTATCAAATTTCCTATTTTTTAATTATCAGGAAGGGTTTTTTTGCTTATTCATCAGCTCTGGATAGGATACCGATGGCACGCACGTTTTTAGTCCCTACTTTGCTGTGGCCCTGGACGATGTGCAAATCTTCTAAAATTCTCGAACAAAGAAGAAAATTACGTTCCGTGAGCGGCTACTGTTAGTTTGTAAGACTTCTTAAGTGATAAATTACTCAGCATTATTTCATTCACTTGATTTCGATCAATAAAATATTGTAATCCAGTCTATAGAAATTCGAAGCAGTGTTCCAGAACATGAAATAGGAATAATTGAAACTATTACAGACTGCGTGTTAATATATAATACCATTTAGTAATCAACCGTAATAGATTAGTTCGCCTTACCGAGGTTTTTCTAGTCTGACGGTGACGAAAGAGCATCCGGAAAAGTTCCCAGTCGTTAGTATCTATCGGCTTTAAATCTTATGCGATCGCGGTACAAGCAGTCAAAAATAGAAAGTTCTTCTGTATTGATTAATTTCTGTCGATGTCTCCTCAGAGTATTGTATCTCGCGAGTACATCTACAAGTCATTGCGACTGCAAAATTCAATTTTTTTATGCTAAGAGTTATTATTATTTTAGTTCATTGAATCGTTTCGCATCTGGATTATGAAAAACACGTCCTAATACTGGGAGCTTTCTTGTTCTAGTATATATATATATTTATATTTGCTGTTTTCTATTACATTTCTTCTCACCGATATGTTTAACAATAATAACATTTATTAGCATAGCGATCGAACGATTTTCATAACACTGGTACGTTCGACATAACGTTATAAACTGAATTAATCAATTTTTTTCCTATTATTGCTCTCGTATTACACGACTGACTTCTCCATTGTAGATCATTTCGAATTCATCATGTACACAGAAAGAAACAGTTCATACAATTCCGCCCCGTTGTGTACGTTCAACGCTCCGTTATTTCTTCGCTATGTTGGTACATCTGTCGTTGTTTTGGGTTTACTTGGGAATTTCCTGTCAATCTTAGTTTTCAGTCGCAAAACACTACGTTCTCGTTCATGTTCTATCTACTTTCTAGCCCTAAGTGTCAGCGATGTTCATGTGTTACTAGGCTATACGATTGAAACTCTTCTTTCTTATGGTTTCAATAGTCAATTATTGTCATATCCATTGATGTGTAAATTGATTATTTTCCTTATTTATGCATCAACGGATGTTTCAAATTACCTTCTGACATTGGCCGCCATTGATCGTTGTATTCTCGTATCGAACTATTCTGTGCGCTTTCGTTTCTGCCGAAAATCAACAGCAAAACTGGCTGTCTTAATCGTTGTTCTCGTATTTAGTTTAATTAACAGCCACATCCTGATCGGTTTTCATGTCGATGAAACCGGTTCATGTGTAACAATGAACACCACCTACAGTTCATTCTACACTAATTATTATGATTCATACATCGACATCGTTAAAACTGTTCTTTTACCGTTTCTCATTATATTTATCTGTAATATATTTATTATCTTTAAGTACACCCGACGAATACACTTCTCGATGGCTAAAATCTCATCGAAACGAAAAAGTCGTCGACGACGTGAAAAGGATCGTCAGTTAACCTGGTTTCTACTATCAACATCGATTTTATTCGTAATTCTATCCTTACCGTCGGAAATCAATGATTTCATTCGTCCATATCTGAGTTCGAATTTTCAAATCGTCTACTTCTGTCAAATCCGGGCATGCGCGACCATGCTTATCCTGATACATCAGATAAATCATGCATCACATTTCTATGTTTATACATTAACGGGACCAATATTTCGAAAAGAATTTCAGAGATTGATCTGCTTATCTCCAAAACAACCGAGAAAAAAAGATTTTCTGGTCCATTTACAACAACCGTCGTTAACATTGAATGTTTCACCGCAGTACGATTTGGATACTCATCAAATAAATAATTCGCGCATTCCACATAGTAGTAATTCATCTGCATATGTAAGTTTTCAAGCTAGTATTTGAAAAAAAACGAAATAAAATCAAATAAATATCGACGAGATTTTCATCGCTCAACGGCCACTTAGAAGAGAATGAACATATTCAAATACTTTTGTTTCCAAGTTCGATTCTCCTCGAGAGTGGTGATTGAAACGATGTGTATGTGTATCATCAGTCTGCTCTTAACCTGTTCGAATGTTCGAATGTTTCACAATTGCTCCGTTTCATTCGTTCTTTCTCTTTCTCTCTCTCTCTCTCTCTTTCATCAATTCAACGAATTCAATGAAGCGGAGCGAATTGACAAAAGAAAGAATGAAACGAACACAGTTGACCAGCATACACATCAGAGATATGACAAGCGTGTAGACATCGATTCGAAAATGAGACTCGAGTGTGATCGATGTGCACTCAACGAAACGATTTAATGGTTAAATGAAAAGTAAATTATAGGATGACAATAGGCAGATATCGAATGATAGATAAAGAATATGAAAAAGCCTGACATCTTGTCAACGTTATCAGCAATTACGCGTCATGATTAACAAACTGTTTTCGTTTGTTGAAGATTCATCTCATACTATTTGAAATGTTCCCATAGAGATTTTCGTTGATATTTCGTTATTGAAAAGCTTGGGGAAATATCGCTTTTATTCAATATCACAACAAGATAGTAGTTTAACAAATTCACCGTAAATCATCACAAGAATGTCCATAGATAATGGATATATCTTTTCGTCCGTTGGTTGAAAAATCATTAAGACTTCATCAGATACGTTCAAATGTTCTGCTAGGCGACATGCATAAGCTCGACGAATATACAGAAGTACTTCGTTTAAGTTCAGATCGAATAGTTCGCCTAGGAGAGAAAGTTTTACATGAGAAATGGATCTAAATTTAGATTTTACTTTACCAAAGTCATACAATGAGGGAAATTGTAACGTAAATCTTTCGAATTGGTTCTCAATATGATATTTCAGTATATAAATAATTGCTTTAACAGTAGGACCGATTAATTTAGCGAAAAATTTCAATTGAAATTCATTTTCATGAAAACAAATCTGCAAAAATGATTTCCTAGATAATCCTTTCGCTCACCACCTTTCTTACTCGATACATTGGTTTGACGGTATCGGAAACTCTATTCGGTAAATCGTTGATTATAATTTCATCTTCATCGTCATCATAATCAACAAATTCTTCTCCCATTAGATCATTTTCCTCATCTTCACTCCATTCATGATCTGATAATATACTTTCATGAAAATGCATCGGTTTTTCAAGACGACAGTCCTACATCATAGTTTATGTACATATTCTCATTAAACGACGAAGATAAAAAAGGAATGCTTACCGTTAGAATATATTTTCTTGTTTGACATAGTTGAATTATTTGTTGAATTATCTGGTATAAGCTCAAACATGGACGAATGTTTAGATTTTGTTTTGTACCAAATGTAAGCAGAAGAAAAGTCAACTGATTTGACATTTCTATTTCCAGCACACGCGACTGAGTACCAATGTGTTGGACTTTTGATAGAATCGATAAAGCTTATCAAATGAAAAATACAGTAGTTTGATGAGATTCAGTTAAATAATGAATCACCTGCTAAAATATCGAGAAAATACTCTCGAAGTATCACGGAAAACAATTTCAGTTTTGATTTCTTATTCAACAGTTGATACTTTTCCATATCCTTGACAGTTATTTCATTCCATCGATGACTGCCAGCACTGATAAATGAACATGTTTTCAACGCTATTTGAAGTGTGCTGTACATTGCATCTATTGATAACTAGTCAAAAACAAGAAGAATATTCGGAAAGATACAATCGAACTAGACGAACGGAATTCTTTGTTAATTGACAAAGTTCAATGCAGGCAATAGCATGTTCAAATTCGAGGTTTGTCGTCACCAGTTGATTTGTATCTGAAGCAGCAAATGACTTGACTGATGATACGAACGATGCTCCATGTGAGAGACGTGCATTTTCTATGTTGTTACATACCATACGCCAAATGCAAAAGAATACAATCGACAAATTGAGAAACAATATCGTCTTTACATTGGATCAATTCATAGAACTGTTTGTGGACGTTCATCTTCTTTACAGTCGATTCGACTAACTCCTAGGGATTGGATATCGATTGATCATTTCATTGAACGCAATTTCAGTCTTACTCTGAATAGGAACGGTTGACTGAATGATAGATTTGATCGATGCAAACGTGTAGGAATGAACAACATATCAGGAACTGATAAATCTGAAAAATTCAGTTCGATCACAAGTAACGAGAACAGATTGTAATTATCTACCAAATCGAATTAAATCACATAGAAAAGCTATAAGATAGAAATCTGAAGATTTCCGTTGGAAAATTGTTGAGTAATCCAAAAGCAAAATTATTGGTCCACTTTGTTGGCATGTCTTCAAACATCGATAGATGTACTAAATAGATTCTATGAATTAAATTAACTATTCAAAAATCATCCGTACTTACACAATACAGATCTATTCGATTCATGTTCAAACCTGATAAATCAACGAGTCCTAAATGGTTCATTATCAATCGTTCGAGTCTTGAACTCGTTTGGAATGAATGATTAGCAAATATCTTCGTTGCCGATGGCCAATTGAATACTGTTATCAAATGACGAAACATCCAGAATATCTCACGAAAACTGTTCTCGTTATAGATAAAGCATACGAAAATTGGAGCAATGTTTGTCTGTGAAGAGAGAAGATAATATTGGCTAAAGTTAAGCAGAAGTATCGATTACTTGAAACAAATATCGAAATGTTTTCATTGGCTGATTATGAACTTCAATCGATGATGAAAGACTTCGAATCTTTCGGTATGTGTAATACATTTGAAATCTTGAATAGACATGTTTATTTCATGTCTTTGTAAGGGAATTCTTACTTCGTTATCAGATCATGAAGAAAGCTCGGGAAAATTGATTCCCAAAAACGATTTTTTATTACCAAATTTTCATTCATAATTGATAGCAATGAGATCGATAAATCCGAACGTTCATCACTCTGCTTGCTAAAAATATTCATACACTCAGACAATAAGATCGATTTTATGTAATATGAGTTTCGCACTTACAAATCAGACAATTGGCCACGTTCATCACACTGTTTACCGATAGTTTTACACCAATAGTACACCAAGGGAGACACCGATTGTCTAAAGAATCTTTACATCAATCGAAAACGAAATCGAACGTTTATTACCCTGATAAACGAAAATCGTATAGATTTTTTGTCCCTGCGATCTGCGTATCAATCCATCGATAGTTTGTCTAAAAATATCCCGAGTAACAGCAGATGTTTCGGGGAAAAAACGTCCTCACATAGCTTTTTGATGAACACATTTGACAGCAACGAAATACTGTTGATAGACGTTGAACATACCGATGGAGGTCTTGTTCCATCATGTCATTTTTATAAATATTTACCAATCGACAAATACGCTAATCAAAAATCCAAGTTCAATAGAAGAATCTTTTTCCTTTTTCAAAAAATTGAATCACTTCTGTTGAAACTTCATTATCTTCAGGTCGAATCATCTGAGATTCGTTATATAATTGACGCCAATTAATCCCTTCTTTCATCTCGACAGATTTAGGATATCTTTGCTCTAGAATGATATTGTTGCCATTTATTCGAGGTTCGCTGAATTGAATGAATCAAACACGCTAACCAAAGGCCATTGGTTCACTTCTTTTGGAAAATTTGAACCACTCAGAAAATGACTTCATGTTCGATTACAATTACATATTGAAAAAGTTTTTTCGAGTCACTGACTTCGAATATAACTGACGATTTTGTAAAAGCGATCATAGACATAATTGTTGGTAGGAGAAAGATTTAGCTTGTATTTTTAGTAAATAAAATTCATAGAAAGTGGAAATAGAACGATTCGATAAGAATGTACATGACGAGAATTATATTTACCTATGTATTAAAGAAAATAATTATATTATTGTTTTATAGAAACGATCGAGTTTAAGTATTGACATTTATTTTCGAAGTGATATCAAACAGCTGAATGTGTAATTCTATTATAATTTGAATTAGGCAACTTATGTAGATGAAAGGATTACGGATGTGATTCTTATTTGTTCGTCGTCTGTCGATAGCTATTACATCTATCACCCAGCTTCTGCTAATTTACTAGCAAACATTTGATATAGTACAATGAGACTAGAATAGGGAGAAAAACGCTGGTATATTCTTGTTTGACACTGATTCTACTGATATTGTTCTCATCCATTCTTTCTACTTCCATCGTTGACTTTTCTTGTATAGCGACAATAACGATCCGTCTCTATCGATGAATATTATGGACATCATCCCCTTCAAGAATCACACGAGTAGCAGAATTAAAACCTTTCTAACGGTCACAAATCACTCTCGGTTCATTTAACTACAAGAATAATCGTCGTTGACAAATTCATTATCAACAATAACTTTAGCGCCCGTCACCACAGCGGTGGTTTCTACACAATCAAACCGATGCTAAGAAGAACTGAATGCGGAAGCTGGATAACTGATTTATTCTTTGCAATTCACTATATGGTTCTTTCCTAGCATGATGTATGTAAAATGTGTGACCTATTTTTATTTTCGATTCTCCTCCACTTCTTCACAGCATCTCATCCTCTCTCTCTTCTAGTATCTTTCATAGCACGGTGTGCGATTCAATTACATTTGCATAGACCAATCATCGCTCGAGTTTATTTGTTTGGAGGTCGCTGTAGTCGACAATGTTTTTGTGCCTCTCAGAAATCTACATTCATATGTAATTTTATGCAATACACTGTCATAGCAGTTTCCTCCTGCTTTTTTCCCTCTAGAGCTCGGATGATGAAAAGAGACGAGGATGATGCAATGATTGTACTTATTTATATCAGTTGATTGAGTGACTTCCGATAGATTTTAACCAGTCTTTATCTTTTATCACTAGATGGCAACTTCGGTAGACGAAACAGCAGGAAAACTCGGTGAATGTTCCATTAGTAAGTTCAACTTAGACATGCATCACTAGATTTATATTGATTATCCACTATAGAAGGACCAATCGCTTACACATCTGAAAAACACGGTAGCGATGAAAATGGAGATGGAACGGAAAGTAAACCATTCAAAACGCCATTACAAGTTTGTTTCTCTTTCGATTAAAAAGAAACAAGATTTTGTTTACGCACTAGCTCTCGTTTCTTAGGCATATCGTCAACAAGGAGATAGTGTGACAGTTTATGTTGATGCTAAAGATGAAACACAAGTATGGCTTATCTGCCACTATTGGATTATATTGAAATGTTCGTATTCTAGGGCAAATGGGAACTATTATCGAAAGCTCAATCGAAAAAGGTTAAAACACGTTATGAAGAAGAACTTAAAAAGGAAAAAGCAAAAGCAGAACGAGAAGTAAGTTCTTACAAGGATCAACTGATCATATACAAAATACGAAATTATATAGGAAAAAGATCAACAACAACGAGAAAAAAATCTTGAAGAAGCTCGAAAAATAGTAATTTCTGAAGATACATCATTACCAAAAGCCACAGTGGTATGTGTAATGTAATTATGCATAAGGATTTCTCTATTTCAATGATATTTAGCTTAAAATCAAAGGATTGAAAGAACATCATGAAGAACGTGTGAAAGTTTTTGGTTGGGTTCATCGTATTCGACGACAAGGTTTTCTAATTGAGCGCCAATCATCATTGCTCTAGAGAATTCATCTATCTTCTAGGCAAAAACTTGATGTTCGTTGTCTTACGAGATGGTACCGGTTTCCTCCAATGTGTTTTTTCCGATAAACTTGTAAGTACCAGCGAGAACCATTGACATTCACCAGCAACTATTATCTTTTTCTTTTCACCAGTGTCAAAACTATGATGCAGTTATCTTATCAACTGAAGCAACTATATCTGTAACTGGTGTCGTACGTCCTGTGCCTGAAGGACAAACGGCACCGGGTGGTCAAGAACTGACCGCCGATTTCTTTCAAGTTGTTGGACATTCGCCACCAGGTGGTGCTGATACATTACTTAACGAAGTTCGTTGAAATGATTGTTCAAATAGTCGTATCTCGAACGTCCCTTTTCTTGTGATAAACTAGGATTCTCATCCGGACGTGCAATTGGACAACCGACATATGTTAATTCGAGGCGAAAACGTGAGTTGATCGGCGTGTTTCTCTCGTCTGTCGGATCATAATGTGAAAAATCATTCTATTTAGACATCGAAAATTTTACGTCTCCGTTCCATTGTTACTCAATGCTTCCGTGATCATTACTTTGATCGAGGCTATTACGAAACATTTCCACCAACTCTTGTGCAAACTCAAGTTGAAGGTGGCTCAACTCTCTTCGGTCTTAACTATTTCGGCGAGCCAGCATACTTAACACAATCGTCACAGCTTTATCTCGAAACAGCATGTCCAGCCTTAGGAGATGTCTTCTGCATTGCCCAATCATATCGAGCTGAGCAATCTCGTACACGTCGTCACTTAGCTGAGTAAGAGCATTGAAAAGAGAAATGTATTACGTTCACGAACAAGTTATTTGTAGATATACGCACGTTGAAGCTGAATGTCCGTTTATTTCATTCGAAGATCTACTTGATCGTATTGAAGATCTTGTTGTTGATGTTGTTGATCGTGTCTTGAAACATCCGGAGGCTCATCTCTTATTTGAAGTCAACCCAGTACGAGAACGAATCTCATAAACATTCTACACAAACAAAATTTTATTTACTCTGTTTTACAGGAATTTAAAGCGCCGAAAAAACCATTCAAACGTATGAACTATAGCGACGGCATTGAATGGCTAAAAGCCAACGATGTTAAAAACGAAGACAATGGTCAATTTTATGAATTCGGCGAAGACATACCGGAAATGCCTGAAAGAAAAATGACTGATGCAATCAACGAACCGATTTTATTCTGTCGATTTCCAGCAGAAATCAAAGCATTTTACATGCAACGAGATGCCAAAGATAATCGATTAACAGAATCGGTAATTCTTCATTTAGTGGGCTATCATAGTTTTTCTTATTTACTTTTCTACACCATAGGTCGATGTTTTGATGCCCGGTGTCGGTGAAATTGTTGGTGGTAGCATGAGGATGACAAACTTCGAAGATTTATCTGACAGTTTCCGAAAGAATGGCCTCAAAACAGATCCATATTATTGGTATTTGGATCAAGTAAGTTGTTATACATGCAGTGGAGGTGAACGTTGGAATTATGTACTTTTCATTGTTTAGCGCAAGTATGGCACATTTCCTCATGGTGGTTATGGTCTTGGTCTTGATCGTTTTATGACATGGTTGACAAACCGTCATCACATTCGTGATGTTTGTTTCTATCCACGATTTATTGGCCGATGCAGACCATAAACAGCGTTGTTTGCTATTCCGGGCAAGAAAATAAGAAGAACATTATTCTGTTTTGTTTTGTTTTCTCTATTTTACATTATTTACGTTTTTTGTTCGTTTCGTGAAAAACTGAAAGAAAACATTTATTTATAAGAATTTCAGTACCGGGATTACTCATTTTTCTTTCTCTGAAACAGAAAACAAAACTGAAACACATCACATGATTACTTTAGATGGACTCGACTATTAATAATAGTGATGATATTCCATCGAAGAAAGATGAATCATCATCGACAATACAAATTAATCCTCCTTCGATCATGACATCTATTACTTCATTTAAACCTGTTGATGATAATGAAGAAAATATACTTGACACAACAAACATTCAGAGAACACGTTTGGAATCGAATGATCGTGATACCTCACTATCCGAGAAGTCTTCGGATCAACTTAATTTACCAAAAATGTCAGCAAATGTTCACATGGACGAACGCGCAGTTGCAGCATGGGTACAATCAACAACAGCTGAAACTGTCTCGTCTCCGATTGAACGTTCGCCATCGTTACCTGCATCCATGCTGGAACAAATATCAACGCGTAGCCGACGGAATTCGACTGTTTCGACCTTATGTGATCAAACACAATCGCAACTAGCGCAAACGGCAGTTTTCTCAGATACAATGTCATCGACAGTATCATATAATTTATCTACTACTATGGATATTCAACGAAGTTTTTCATTTCCAACTGTTGATCAACATCAATATTCGAATTTAGACAACGAGCAGAATCAATTCATTTCGGAAGAAAACGAAGACGATATTACGACACAATTCTTACCTGTGCCAGAATCTGAAGATTCCGAAATCGATAAACAATCAGAAAAACCACTTGTATCAGAAAATGCATTTCTATCGAATAAACATTCGTCTACTGGAGAAGAAAGAAAAATCTCGTCAAATGTTTCTTTTCATGCGTCTGTTTCATTCGATCCTCGCCGTAAATCATTGCATGTTCAACGACGTCGAAATAATTCTTGGAATACAAACAAAAACAAACCTGTGTCTTATCAACGTTCAGTATCACATAAACCAGCATTAGTGGATCCTCGGGTTAATCAAAAACAGTACTTTACTTCGTCGTCAGTGCCGTCTGGAATTCAATCATTTCTAAGTCATAGAACAAATCAATCGTCAAGCTATTCTGATAATGTTTTTCTCTCCACATCGGCGATCAGTTCACCTTTGTCGCTGCATCATGCGAATTTGGTAAATCACATACCAGTGGATTCACGATTTTTAGCCATACCATCATCTACATCGATGATTTCGTCGGATCAACAAGCATCGAATGTGTCCGACGCGTCTGGCCAAAGTGGTATTGAATCATCAAATTTACGAACAAGTATATCTGAACTGCCACATACAGCAAGTATCAATGAGGAAGAAGAGGAAGAGCAACAACATCAAGGATCTAGAGCAAAAGCTGAAAAGAACCTATTGCATTTACAGCCGAAACGTTCCAGTTCGGGCTCGTCGAGATCAACACAAACTGCGAGTACAGAAAGTTTAGCGACATCGTCAAGTGAAGATAGAGTCAACAATATGTACAAAAAACTTGATGTTTTGAATAAAGTTGGGAAAAAGCCGCGAACACCATACGATCAAAGATTAGATGTCCTGCGTCAATTAGCATGGCTGTTGGAGAAACGACCACCTATTCATTCACGATTAAATCCCACACGTCGGAAACCAGCTCAAGCGCTGGTGTCTGTATGTTATTTAGAAAATCGGTCATGCAGATTTCCTTTTTCTTTGTTTGTTTTTCGTTAGGCTCGTTCATCTATGAGATCAACTAATACAACAACCGTCACTCCGCATGCAGAATCGGAGTTGACAATCACTTCGAAAGCTTCGCCCCAATTATTCTCAAGTTCGAATGAAAATTCAAATCAAGTACATTCGTTACCTATCAACTCACATCGTCCTCATTCACCTTCATCTTCACAGGCGTTAACATCTTATGTTGATCCTCTGACTCAAAGTTATTCTTCTATACGTAGTATTCATTCAGATTCTAGTCTCAATCCATGTTTAATCAATACCAAAGCACCATCTTCAAATCCGAATCCGGGCACAACATCACTTAATTCTTCTCTTCACTTGCAACGCAATACATCTTCGTCAACCAATAATCAATCTCAGCGAAGACGAACCGGTCAGCATCGCCGAAACTTTAGTGGCCGCGCTGCTGTCCATCGAGATCGTAAGAATTCCTTTACAAAGTCGAACACAAATAAACTTGATGAGCAGTCAACAACTTCACAAATCTCTCAACAACACACAGGTCCTCTAGTTCGTGACATCAAAGCCATTCTTGAAGAACATTTAGCAATGATTAATGATTTACTTCTAAAACATTCGTGCAATGCAAGCATACAATATCCTTCGCAAAATTCGTGTATTCGCGATTATCTTTACACACGTTTAAGTGAATTATCGTTAAGAAATCCAATGAATCAACGTTGTTCGCGAGTTGAAACAAAAGCGTTTATTGATTCGATAACGACGTATAATCTCAATCGCTCACATCATTATCATTTCTTAATTCAAAGTATTCGAGATTTATCTAAACCTGTTCGTTTATCAAATGAAACTAAAGATGATCTTTCGACAATTGATGATACCCTGCTAAATTCTTCTCTATCTAATTCGAAACTAACAGAATTCAACAATAATGTGGAGTCACTCAAAGAGCATCCACTACGTTTCTTCCGTACCCTAACCGATGAATATATTCTTGATTGTGAACAAACAGAAAAGGATTTAACACAAAAACTATACGATATTGCTGATAAACAGTACATTCTCTACTGTTTAAAACATGTTGACAGTGGCCATACGAATGATTTACTTTCGGTTTTTCACAGTCGACTTGATGCGATGTTTGTCTGGTACAATCTTTATTATGAATTAACGATATCAGTGAAGAAACTAAGTGGTTTATTACGTTGTGATGATTGTGACGATTGGCCAAAGCTACACTTTCGTTCGTTGGCAACCGAACGTGAACGAAAGGCGAAGAGAGCCGATGAAAGCGATTACTATACGACAAGTGAAGACGACAGTACTGATGACGAGGCAGATGTAAAAACAACTGAAGAAAGTGACATAGATAATGAATCTGAACAGATGGAAAGTGGAATTGGAAAGACCGAGAGCGGAGATGAAATTGATGCGATGCCAAAAGTAGGTTCAAATGAAGGAATTCTTGTGCAACGTTTAGTTTGATCTTTGTTCAAAGAATATTTGGCCAGACGATGCGTACGATCAATTTTCAAGTCTTAAAAGTAATTTCAATGAGAGAGAAAATCAGAGTTCACAAACTATCTCTTGTTTTCATTAGTATCGGACGATTCACAACAGACGAATACGAATCCGACTCCACAGAAAATCGATCGAACCAAATGCTATCGGTAAACACGAACGAATCTCGACAAATAAAACGAACATATGAATATTTTTTGTAGAAATTTTGTTTATTACATGGACAAACGCTCGTACCAAGTAAAATATGATGGTTTAGCTCGTACACTAATTGAACGCGTGGCACCTGTATTAGTTAAAACCCGTTTAGCACTATTACAAACAAGTAACCGACGTGATATCAAAGTCGAACAAGTTCTTGCCGGTTTATCTCTATGTGATTTTCAATCAACCGATAAGAATCAAGCGAGTTCCACAGCTAATACAAATAATGATGATATTGATGATAAACTAGTCGACACAGACAACCCAGTGAAAGACGATACGACAGCGAACTTAAACATTGGCGAATTAACGATTGAGAAATGGTTACATCGTGTTTTAGAATCGTGTTCAACTATAAAAACAATTTGTTCACACACTGAAGATATATTAAAGCATAATTGGCTGGAAATACATGAACAATTAGGTTTACCGTCACTATTACCATTGTATTTCTTCATTGTCAACGTTCTACTCGATGTTATGAATGAATGTCTGAGTCTTTACATGAAACCATATATGAATAATGATATCATTGAAATAGATGCACTTTGTCGTCAACAAGTAAACAAAAGAAATTGTTTGATCTGTAATAAAGTTGTTCTTCGTATTTCAGCTTGTTCGAGAAGCGAAATTGGTACTAAGGTAAACATGATGGGCACATCACATTGATAATGCATTGCAGAAAATGAATTTGTTTAGGGATGCATTGGCTACTCGTTTGTATAGCGTTCGTATGATGGAACAATTTATTTCTAATCGTCAGATAGCTGATGAATTAGCAGATTTTGACGAGAAAATTGTGAATCTATACATGGTTAAGACTTTATTTCAATGATTCTCAGGTTTACTTATTTTCTTCTTTTTGTTATAGCATTACAAACAATTTTTAAGTACTGTTTCTATCAATCGAACGTATGATATTCATGATGATACTAATCCGATAGCAATCAACGAAACAGATCGGGAATTGTACTATTACGTTGATGAGGAGACATCTGAACTGATCAAAGAATATTATTTTGCACGAGATTTAACATTAACCTTAGGCAATCGAGAGCTTATTCATGCTCTTGGTTCTCAATTTAAGTACGGCATCACAAGTTTGCCAATAGCGCATTTAGTTCTCTTTTTTGTTTTTAGTGATCTGGTCCGAGGAATCTTAGCACAATTAAAAGAAGAATTGAATGAAACAACAGAAAATTATTACCAAGTATTTGCAGCTGATACAACAAACGCATCAAGTGCAAGTGATGGAATTTATTCCGCGGAGTAAGTCCACCAGAACAAACATCGATGGTTCATAGTATCTATCATTTTAGCGTCATGTCAGAATCGACAAAACCACCGTATTTTCATTCATCAACGAGTGTCCCACCGGATTTTTCTTTAAGCGAATTGTCCATCTGTGATGCATCAGCATCGCTTTCTGAGCAGAAAAAGTAACGCTATTCAAATCGAATAGGATTGTCGAATGCGATTCTTTTCGTGATTTAGATGTGAAATCATATTTAGTACAAGAGAATTTCGTCGAAGTTTTGATAAAATAAAACAACGAACCATACGCATATGCTCATTAGCTAAAACTCTGATCAATGTAAGTTGATACTATTCACTAGGATTGTTTGCATTGAGTGTCATTCTTCGTTCAAGGATTTCTCAATCGCAGCAGAATTCAAATGCTATAATTATGTTGATCTCTGGCATGATCTGAAGAGAAACGATTATTCACAAGTCAAACTTCATTTAGATTCTAGCGTATGTACAATTTTAGCACTTTATTTTTATCAAAATGCCTCTGTCAATTGCTTTTCTTCTTCTAGAATTCCAATGACTTCGATAGTTTCTATCTATTCGTTCCTCCCTGGTTATCAAACGATAAGAATCAAGTGGAGAAACTCCTCAATATTATCTGCAGTCAACAATTTTCAACAGATGAGATGAAAGCATCAAATTCGAACCCGAATCCGGCATTTATGATCTTCGTACCGAAACGAAATCAACATTTACAAAACATCTCCTGGACCGGTAATGTTATATTCATTCGCGCAAGTGAAAGTACACAGTTAGCATTGAATTCAACTGAACTGCCATGTTTGCATTTGGTCGTGACACGATCCGATCATTGGAAACAAGCAACGGATCTATTTCAATATCATACGGGATCAACGAATAACAATATTCAGTTGGTTAAGAAATTAGCACGAGATGAAGATATTCGTTTGACATTTGATCAATTACCTGTTCGTATTCGCATTCCGTTTCCAATTCACATATTGAAAAGATTTTCGTTTTCAGGAACAGATCGATCGATTAAGCAACCAATTGACAGAACTCGTACGAACATTGAACACAATTTGGGATCAGGATTCAATCAAAATCTTTCTCATGGACATCGTCAAATTTGATGAACGACAACTGCGTACCATCGAATCGAAATTACTCGATCTGGTTCTCTACGTTTACAATTCGGGCTTTGAGTTGTTTCGCCTTCTGTACGAACTGTTACCACCAATATCGGTCAATGATGATAAAATCTTAAAGAAATTTGTGAGCACTATGAACGAATTCTTCTGTGAATGGTGTAAATGTGTAACAAAGAAGTTCAAATATGCATCTATTCAACAAGCACGAACAGCAAAGTACAAAGTTTTGAGGTATGAAAAACGAGTGAAGAAATGAAAGTTTTCATTGAATTTATCACATAGACCCAGATGGTTTTCACCCGGAATGGTATTTTTGGGATTTCTCGCCAAACCACCACACTTACAATTGTTAACCGAGTATGAATATTCGAATTTAATGACGGAAATGCCCGTAGCGTTGAAGGCTCTACGTGGAAGTACGTTGAATAACCACGATTCACCAGTCATTAAAGGTAAATTTGAGTTGGTTTTCGAGATTGTCGACATGAGAAAACTAAAGATCAATTCGGTATTTTCTTTACGTGAACAGATGTCGGCTTTTTTAACGACTATTTCGATCGAAGTTTCAGTTTTGGTGAGAATAATAGCTTTCGGCTAATCTGATTTATTTTTTAACATAAATGTCAAGTTTTCGATGAAAATCATAGCATATTCATCTTTCTATAAGTCGATCTGAACTTTGATATATGTCAGTTGTGATTACGAGTGTTTCTTTTTATTGGGCTCTCGCTGATTTCGAACTATCTTTAGCTTTTGATTTCTTTCTGGAACATTTCTATTTCTTAGCACGTTCAAACAGTGTTTCATCAACACCGACGATGTCAGGTCGTCCACGCAATCGATCGAGTGCGAGTTCGTAGAAGATCTTTGACTGTTTGTGAGGAATGATTCGTTTTTGCGTTTAGGTGGACATCGACGTTTTGATAGTGGTGGTGGTACCAATGAACTCTTACCGTTTATTTCTATAACTCCTCTGGAACGCATTCAGAATAGTATTAAAGCTCGCGAGAACGAACTCGAACAAAAACTTCGCGAACGAAAGCAGATCGGTCAAATTTTCAATAGTAATAGTAACAATACTGCAACATCGAGTTCGACATTAGATCCAGGTATATCCTTGAAAACTCGTAATATTGCTTTTCCGTGGCGGCGTGGTACGCGAATTGGACAAGGTGGTGCAGGTGTAGCATTTCGTGCAATCAATAGTTCAAATGGCTCCATTGTTTGTATGAAAGAAATTCAACTATCATCGATCGCTTCGCGTTCATTACCAAGCACATATCCCGAGAAATTGCGACGCATAGCTGAAGAAATCGACATGATTATGTCGATAAATCATCCAAATATTGTTCGATACTTCGGTATAGAAAAATATAAGGTAAAGTGAAAGATGTTCTTCTTGCATAATCAGAGAGATGTTGATGATAATGTTGTTTTAGAGAACGATCTATATCTGTATGGAATATTGTCTATCGACAGTGAATGAGTTTTTAAATGATATTCGAGCATTTCAACATCGTGCTCACAGCCGAAAATCGATCAGTGGTCTCTGGACAGATTCAAGTGATCAAGATGATGAAATCAACACCGACAATATTCATGTAGCACCTTCTTTGAACGTTTATGAACTTGTCCGAGGCTTTGTTAAACAACTTTTACAAGCATTACTTGCTCTGCATGAACATTGTATCGTGCATTGTGATGTTAAAGGTGATAATATATTTATTGCGAATGAAAACGGACATTACATTGTTAAATTGGGCGTAAGTTTTATACATGAAGAGAAAGCATTCGATTCTCATTTGTCTATCATTAGGATTTCAATTTATCTCATCGATTAGAATTAGAATCACCATCGGGAAATGTAAGTGATTCTCGGAGTACACAATTCGGAACACTGTGTAAGATTTCTTCATATTATTGATGATGACGACAACTTCTCTCGTTAATATCTCGTAGATTTCAAACCACCCGAACCGGAATATGTCTATCAGTCTGATATCTGGGCACTTGGTTGTACGGTAATCGAAATGCTTACTGGCAAAGTAAATGCGGAATACTTTGTAGCTGAATTGATTTATTTGACTGAATTTTAGCATCCTTGGGCTAACGTTGTTCGTCCACAAGAGGAACGCCTTTACATTCAAAATCAATTGCTAGCTAAAAAAGGTCCACCGATCCCTGATGAACTCAAAGAACATCATGAGGCATACGATTTCATTGGATTATGTTTGATACCTGATCTAAATGAACGGCCCTTAGCTAAAGCGTTACTTGATCATCCATATCCTCGAGTTCGAACAGGTAGAATCGGCACTGTCTTGAGTTTCTATGATTCTAATTTCATTCTTCTCCTTGTCTAGATTCTTAACAGTAAAACTGGTCGATGTACATATGAACTTTCTCTGTTACAAACGATATGTATTTAAATCTGCAATCACAACCAACTTTTTACATTTGTTTTTCTGTTTTATAATGAAGATTAGAGATTTATTTATTGTTATTTCACTTTTTCTTAATAAAAAAAGTCAAATAAAATCGATTTAGCTAGATACCGAATGTGACGACTGAAAAAAAGACAAAACAAGCAAAACCTTTCTCTAGATGTATTTTCGCAGTTGTTTTGTTCGTTATTTTCATAAGAAGACACGTTTGCCCGAACTTGATTTTACTAAACCAATGAGCGAACGTTTGAAAAAAGCTTCCACAAACGAACCCGTTCATTCCACTGATCAATCCTTGTTAAAGCTCTCACTACGTGGACAATGTCTCTTCGGTTTATATCCAATTGAACTAGCACTAAAAACAAAACGTCGTGAATTCTATCGATTATTCCTTAGTAAAACTTCACAAGAAAATCGTCCGATTATCGAAAATATTCAACATCTAGCTGAGCAATTGTCTCTACCAATTCAATATACCGACACATTGACACTGGATCGTTTGGCGTTCGATCGACCGCATCAAGGTGTTTGTCTTGACTGTTCACCTTTACCAGTAGAAAATATCGATCAAGCAGAAATGAAAACCGATCCAAATCGAGTATTTCTCGACTTATGTCTGGTTAAAATTCACGATCCAATGAATCTAGGTGCCATTCTTCGTACGGCACATTTCTTTGGCGTCGATCGAATTCTTTTGACTCGTGGCACATGTCAACCATCGCCAGTTGCAAGCAAAGCTAGTTCAGGCGCAATGGAATTGATGTCAGTCTATGCTTGCCATGACTTGCCTACATATTTAAAGCAATTGCAAGAACAACACAATATTGCATTTGTTTGCGGAACACACAAAGGAACCATTTCATTACGAACTTTACGTTTAGATCAAATCAGAGCTCGTTTAGCCGAAAAACGCCTCCAACGAATTCTAATCTTAATCGGTAATGAGCATGAAGGTATTCCTGATGAAATCGTGGAGCAATGTCATTACAATGTATGCATTCAAGCGAATAAGAGAAGTGAAATTTCATCATTGAATGCATCTGTTGCATGTGCTCTGTTGCTCTACCATATTTCGGCGCAAATGAATGAATAAAATTATCTACACACAGAAAAAAATGTCTTTTTTAGTTCATCTGGATATAATTGAACCAAAAATACATACTTTCAGATAGTCTTTAAAATAACTTCCTCCGTTCACCTGGATGTACTCTGAAACGAGTCTATATTTACCATTGCATGTTAATACTGATTGACAATATCAGTGGATTTCACAGGAGCACAAAATGACGACTACTATTAGACTTTTCTGTGATTAATAATCAGTTCATTCGATTGTCTGTGTAGTGAATGTTCGACATGTAGATATTAATTTAAAATTACAGAGAATTCAGTCCATTTCCACGATTATTGGTAAGAAACGGAGATACTGGTGGTTTTCCGAGGCGGAAAAATCGTACCTGCTGGATAGATGATGATGATGAAAAATGAACGGAATATAGAATGTTCATTAGTCTTCGAATTGAACAAAACTAATATAGGTTATATACCCAGCCGCCAGTGATGATTTCAGCTGAATGAAGTGTATAGAATCAGCGTTCAGTAAAGTTGACATTTGGAAATCAAATCGGAAGTGTGTTCTGCATTGTCTAGATATGTTAACATCAAGCTCGACTAGATTCTATTTGATTTCTGTCCGAAAAGAAATTTGCCCTTTTTCTCTTTCGAGAAGTTGAATCAGTTCGGTTATTGATGTTCCAAATGAGTCCGTTGTGAATTATTTAAGTTCAAAAACAGAACTATATTCGCTAGATGAAATCACCTTTACCAGAACAAAATCCACAACAACACACCCACAGATCGTAATTAGAGTACTATGAATTTGCTAATCACTACGGAGTATATTCTTTTTCTCTTCGAACCATCGTTAGCATTTTCTTTTTCTAGTTTCCTACATTTCTGAACCGATTCCATGTGTATTAACGCGTTATTTCTCTTGCATATCTAATTCTTTTCTTTTATTTTTTGTATCTAACATTTCATTGCGACATACCCGTCTTATTTTATCTGATGTCAATATGTCCTCGACAATAAATATTCCGAATAGATCCCGAATGAATGCGGAGAGTATAATACTTTGATAACAGCTTGAGAGTATTTTCTTCGGATAAATAACACTTAGTCACGATTTTCATTAGACTAAGAAATCAAGTCGATAGGTTGCGTTTAGTCAAAATTGGATTTCTATTTTGGTCCTTTTGATTATTAATTAAATAATGAGATGCACATATAAATACACACTTAAGATACGTCTTCTATTCAGAATCAATAAGATATCAAAAGGTAAAGCAGTTTTAAGCATAGAGAACAACAAAAGAACTTTAATATTTCTTCCTATCGTCTCTTCGGAAGTGTAATCTTACAACTGATTAGTTAAAACATTCATTCTTCATGTTATATATGAAGGCGTCGGCTCGGTTTGTTGCTTAGAAATGCACTAAACTACAAGTCGTGATCAAGTAAGCAGAGATTTCTTCATCTACTATTTCATTAAGTCGAGAAAATAATTAGAAGATTTTTCTATTTGTTTCACACTCGACGGCATGTTTAAGTACTAGTGTACTTATCTCGAAGATTCATAATTATTTATTAATTTAAAAATCTTCCTTCTTTACTCATAGAGAGAAAACCGATTTTGCTAGACTTGTGCATTCTCATGGATAATTGTCGTATCTGTGTACGAAAGAATGGTAAGTATGTTTGTTATCTTGAATAATATTACCTCTATGATCAGATAACATCGGTTAACTGATGTATTAAGCATGATGGCGTTGTTTATGTCCTATTATTAATGATGGATAATAGGCAGAGTAAATATTTTCGGTAAGCCAAACGATTATGCTTCTTTTTAAAGAAAACTAATTTGTATGAAAAGGTTTTGTATAATCTGTCTGGAGTTGAAAGCAAACATTCGAGAATGTTATCGTACGTATAATGAAGAAAACAGCTCCTCTTTATTTTCTCTTAGGGCTCATGACTTACAAATGGAATCGAATATATTGTACATATGTTATTATTTTTGTTCGCTGTTTCTTCCGCTAAGAAACCAAATTATTTATTAAGTATTTCTATTTCCTTGAAAGTCTGAGGAAGAAAAAGGTTAAATTACATAGACACAATGGACGAGAGGAAGAAAACGGTAGACACGTTTGTCTTGCCATTTATTGTGCATGTAGATCTTCACAAATGCAATTGTTTTTCTCATATCAAATATATTATGATTGATTATCGCAGCGTCTGATGATTAAGGAGCAGAAGAAAAAGAAATAGCAGAATTTTCTCTCCTTATTCTCCGGGCTTGCGAACCGGGAAGCAGTCTTGCAGTTTTTTTTGCTTTAGTCAAAATGTATTTAGCACGCTCGAACTTTCGTTACTAAATGAGAATAGAACATCTCATTATTCTCTCTATCCCTCGAACATATATTTTCGAAATAACAATTCATCATTGTCGAAAAAGCATTAGCGTTAGATGTATATATGCATATACTTCATATGCTCGTCTGACACCAAAGAACGTTCCTTTCTTTTTTCAGAGATATTCTCTTGATAGATTTGTGTTTAGAATGCCTAATGTATGAACATCTTCATCAGCAGTCTTGTCGAACCGAGAATTATTAATTGATTTGGTGAAAAGCTGGAAGTCTTTGGAGAAAAATACATTTCAGATGTGTTAATTTGGTTTATCCTAATAATGATCTGTCGATTGACATCTTCCAATGCATCGTGGTATTCGAACGTTTGTATTCTAATCAAGCATCGCATAATTTCGTGATGGTGATGATCGTCAGGCAAATTTCCTTTACTTTCATTCCTCTCGTCGAAGAAAGAAGTCGCTGGTAGAACTTCACGAGTAAATAATATTGTATCTTTTGAGAAAGGAGAATACAAAACATTCAATAGATTGTATCCCGCGTCCGAGCATAAATAATGAATAGTCATTGTAAAAGTCGACAAAATCACACGATAATCATGTTCCTACCAGACTTAGTAACGACAAAAAAGAAAGAATTTAGAGTTTGCATATGTCGCAAATAGAACATTTGAACCCGTCTGGCGACGTTAGGCTCGTTTCTAGAATTTGAATTATGGAAAGCGATGAAATAGATGAACATTTGGTGCGATAAGTTAATAAAACCAGATGATGAAATAAATAATTAACTAGGCTTCTTGTTATTCCTACTAAATCATGAAGGATCTCTACAGAATATGAAGCCATTTTTCGACTAGTTTAGACGTTCTGGCTTATTAGTACACATACAGCTGCAAGATGCTCGTCATTTATCATCTTGGTCGCTGTTTCCTCTTACTCTGTTTCCTCCACGAGATTTGAACCGCAATCGAATTTAAGTTAGAAAAACAAGTCATAGTTGATGACAGATCGTCAGTATCTAATCGAACAAGAACGTGTGTTTAGAAATGTCAGTTGTCATTAGTGTTCATTTTCATTCCTTGACAGCTAATAATTTCACATTAGTTTTCTCGAACTACTTCTGTTTTCCTGCAACGATAATTATAGAGATGTCCAGTTTGAAGCATAATTTTTTGCTGGTAGTATTTATTATCAATGATAGAAGTCGAGTAGAGCTAGGAACAAGATTTATTGAAGGTTTTTTTTCCAAACTGAAAAGAGTGACGTGTGTTTTTTTTGCTCTTGAGTTTTTTCTGGGTTATTTTTAGATAAGAATCAAATTTAAATGAACAGATTTCATCGACATTGTGTGTGCGAGTGCTTCATATTTACGTAAGGAATTAACTAAGCTAATTTATTCAGCCCTATCTCGTTTCGATATAATGAGATAAGATTTATATAAATACCGAAGTCTGTGGTATCGCTTTCTTTCAGATTTTGTTTTTATTTACATCGAGCAAT